CTCCCACCCCTTTTGCTGACACCCACTTTCAGCCTCACCCAAGAAGAAGGATCACTCGGGTGAGAGATATCATACAGCAACTGGTGCTTGTAGGACTATCCCCAACTACAATGAAAAGTATACAGACAAGAGGAAGCGAAAAACTGGCAAAGGAAAGTGAGGACTCATTTATAATGCACAGCTCCGTGTAGGATCAGACTCCTGACCTTAATCCAGACCTCAATAAAGTAAACCGGCTCGGTTATGTAATTTTGAAGCAACTCATTGCTTAAAGCTATCTCACTTCATTGTGCAAGCCAGAACCATGCATCCAGCCAAGGACTCTGCTCAAACACTCTCCATTGCTGGATTCTTTCAAACGTGAGCACCACTCTTGTTTGGCATGGGATTCTGCTCAGCATTTCCCAACAGCTGAAATCTATACTAATAAAGATGTAACGTCTGTGTGTGTTTCTGTTCATCTGTGTGTCCGCGAAGAACTCAATAACCGGTTGACATAGAGACATGATTTATACCTCATCGGAAAGGTCTTGCATAGGAAAGAGTCATGGGCATATTTTTACGAAAAGAAAAGGCAACGCTCACGGTGTCTTGGTCAACAATTCCCCTCAAATAAAATTGGTCAAATTGGCAATTTGCTGCCAAATTTACCTACAAATAAGCAATCACTCTATTTCACATGTAAATCATGTGAAGCACTTTGAGTGCTATATCAAATGCAAGGATTATTATTCACTAATTTCATTTTGAAGCACAATTTTTTCACCCAAGTGCAACAATTGTGGGTCACATCACATAAGCAGCATTTGACCACCTTGAGCTTGCTGATTAGTTTATGATATGAAACAGAGTAGCATGAAACGGAACGGTGTCTGTAGCTCAGTGGTTAGAGCACTCACCTCGCAATAGAGAGACCTGGGTTTGATTCCCGGCAGGGCGAAACATTGGGCAAGTTTACTTACTCCACGCACCTGTTTACCTAGCAGTAAGTAGGAACCCGGGTGTTAGTCGATCGGCGGATCGATTTTCTTCCGGGGATAATATTCCCTCAAAAAAAATAATTTGGTCACTTAATCCATGACTGTTGGTGGGACGCTGCTGTGCGCAATTGGCTGCCGTGTTGCGTGCACAAAATATACAGTCAATTCACTTAACAGTATATTCTGTGAAGCGCTTTGAGACGTCTCGAAGATGTGATAAAGCGTTATATCAAATGCAAATTATTATATTGATAAGAGTTCCAGACTCCCCAGTCATAACAAACATTTATGCTTCCATTTTAGCTGCTTTAGGCCAAACCCTTTGAATGCCCTGGTGTGCATGCACATTGCCCAGCAGTGGTTATGCTGTGGGTGAATACGATATTCAATTGTAGCCCCAAACGTGAAGGTTTTGTGTAAATCGAGACAAATACTGAAAAGGGTCCAGTTTCTCTTGAAAACGCACGGACAGGTCCAAAAAATAAAAAAAAGAATTTCAATGGAAATTGGAGTCCAGAAGTCTCGAGTCCATCTGCAATCCAGGAAAACAGTGAAAGAGAGAGAGAGTTGTGGTGGTGGGGAGTATCAGCTCAGAACAGATATGATCTCACTGTTCACTGAGTAAAATCTGCACTGAATAGATGCGATTGATTACCCAGTTTTACAGTCAGTCAAAGTCAATCAGTCTAACGGGAGATGTACATTGTCGATGAAATAAACGTTTCCTCTCAAACCTTGACTGGAAACGTCTCCAAAAGTCACAGCAGTCACAAAAGGGAACTTGTCAAAAAAGTGGTTGAGAATTTCATTTACAATCCTTTCCTTCTCAAACCAAAGCAGCGCATCGGGACAGTGCGGAGAGAAGTGCAGTACAATGTCCCAGTGTTGGGCTGTGAGGATCCACATACAAACGAGGATTTCTGTATCTCTCTCGGGGACACTAGAGTCGGTACCACTGGAATCAGCTCTTTAATTCAGTGTAGTGTCTTTATCAAACTGCTTACTTTACTCTGGCGTACACTGACATGGGGATCAGAAGCAGTTTATTGTTATTTTCTGGCGTTCCTGTGTGTGTGTGTGTGTGCGTTCTTTGTTATTTCATATTTGCATATGCTATCTTTGAGATTTTCCTCCATAAATTTAAAGTTAGTGGTCCATCCTTCGAGGCATTGGTAGACAGTGACCCCCTCCTCCCCCCCCACCCACCCTCCCCGTCTCCTAAAAAATAATGCCTCCTAAAAAATAATACAATTATTACCATTATATGTCCCATTTGAGTTCTTTCGTTGGTGTCACTAGGTTTAAAGAAACCCAATCTGACTTTAGTTTAGTGATGAGTTCCCGCATGTTTCAGACAGACACCCCGTTGCCCCCACCACAAAAAAAATTGGTGGAACGCCTGACAGCCCATATCCAACACTTACACCACCTGATCAGAGTGAGTAACATCAAACTAGAGGAGGTTTCACAACATGTTCTCCTGTACCCGCAGCTCCATGTAAGTCACTGCTGAACTGTCCACAATCACTTTGCACAAAGCCAATTTTCCCGTCTGACTTGTTCCACTTCAATCTCTAGGCCATTTTTTTTCCTGTTACTTTTAGTTTCCTTCATTCTAATATTATTTTAGACTATTTAGACAGGTCAAAAACAACAGGTAGTTGTTATAATAATAAAATAACAATCCTTGCATTTGAAATGGCGCCTTATGACATTTTCTAGACATCTCAAAGCGCTTCGCAGAATGGTAGGATTGACAGTGAATTGACTGTAGATTTTGTGGGGGCAGCAAATTGGGCACAGCAGTGTCCCACAAACATGGATTGCGTGACCAAATTAAATCATATTACCCGTCAAACAGTTACAGACATCCTCCCGAAGTGGAAGGTTCTGTATAAATGTAAATTATTATATTTTTCGACTGGTTCTCTACCTTCCCTGCCTTTGTGCTATTCAAGTTGAATGCTGACAAATCCAACGTGAAGGTGTTATATAAATGCAAGTTGTTGTTGCTTCCTATGTTCACCAAACAATTATAAACTCTGCCCCTATGAAAATCATCACTGTTGAGAGGTTTTTTTTTTGGTTACCCAGGTGTCTGACACATGTGGAAAACTATTACCGTTCCCAGGTAGTCAAGAAAGCCAACAGAATGCCGTGGTGTGCAACTAATTACATGACAGACTATGTATTTCAAACTTGTATGAAGTCTTGGCAGGTCACATCTGGAGTCCCTGAGACCTGGACGCAATTTTGGTCACTTTGCTCTGCCACTGCCAAGGATTCCAGGGTGTGAGGGGCACAATATAAATGCAAGTTGTTGTTGTTGTAAGATGTCAAAGGGAGTTCAGCAGAGGGCAATTAGATTAATTCCAGATTTTAGGGGACAAGGGGTGCAAGGAAAGACTGGAATGCAGCCTAGGACTGTAAAAGGACATAGCAGATGCATAAAGAAACTTGAAAATTATTGTAAGAGGATAAGCCACGTAGGAATTTAACATTGTGTCATAACAAACACAATAATTAAGAGTGAATAGAAAACAGTAAACATATTAATTGATTAGTGGAGGTTTGTAACACACAGAAAGTAGATTGAACTCCAGGACTTTGACATTGGAAAGGTTGAAATTCAAAGAGCTGGAAACCAAAGAAAGTCGCAAGGAACAGACAGTTTGAACTGAACCCTGGTGTAATTGGAGAGATAAGGGAAGAGATTCCTGTTAATTGTCTCTTTAAAACAATTATAGTTCATTCACTTTGGATTGACTATATATTTTGTGGGCAAAACACGGCAGCCAAATTGCTCACAGCAGTGTCCCACAAACAGTCATGGGTTGAATGACCACATTTCCCCCCTGATATTTGTATTCCAGGTGATTTAAAAGTGGAGCAAAACTCATTTATACTAACTCAGCATCAAGCAAGGGAGGTCTCTCCGGTCAGCTGATTACACCCGGACTCCTGTCTGTTAGTCTCTCTTGCCCTGATGAAACTTTATTGGGTTCAATTCCCGGCAGTGCGAAACGCAAAAAGAATAAGAAAAAAGTCCCGAAGACGTGATGGGGGGCACTGTATCAAATGCAAGGATTATTATTATTGTTATTATTGTTATTTACTGAGCGCTGAAGTTGCTTTTCTGGCGTGTTGGCTGTGTATGTGTGTGTGTGTGGGGGGGGGGGGGGGGGGTGGGTGGGGGGGAGGAGGGGGTGGGGGGGAGGAGGGGGTGGGGGGAGGACTCTGGCGCAACACATGGCCCACAGGATACGACAATCTATAAAGAGCCCCACTGTACAGCAAAGTACAGTACAGTACAGTACAGCACAGTACAGCACAGTACAATATAGTACAGTACAGTACAGTATAGTACAGCACAGTACAGTACAGTACAGTATAGTACAGCACAGCACAGCACAGTACAGTATAGTATAGTATAGTATAGTACAGTATAGTGCAGTACAACACAGCACAGTACAGCGCAGCACAGTACAGTACAGTACAGCGCAGTACAGTACAGCACAGTACAGTATAGTACAGTATAGTACAGTACAACACAGTACAGTGCAGTACAGTATAGTACAGTACCGTACAGTACAACACAGTACAGTACAGTACCGTACAACGCAGTACAGTATAGTACAGTACAGTACAGTACAGTATAGTACAGTATAGTACAGTATAGTACAGTACAGTATAGTACAGTACAGCACTTCCTGAAAGCTCCAGTTCGCTGCTGACAAAGACAAACATTGGCAGCGAATGAATTTGCCGCCGAACGAGTTGAGCCGGACTGGGAGCTGCTGATCCGGATCGGCTGCCAAACCCCCACACAGAGAGAGGGAGAGGGAGGGAGGGAGAGGGAGAGGGAGAGAGAGGACCTCGGCGACAGCGCTGCGGAATGCGGATAGCGATGTGCAACAAGCGATCGGCTGTTGGGGAGCGGGTCCCGGGAGCACAGCGGCGGTGCGCGCGGGTGGCGGTGTGTGTGCGGGTGGCGGTGTGTGTGCGGGTGGCGGTGTGTGTGCGGGTGGCGGTGTGTGTGCGGGTGGCGGTGTCGGGCGGTCCCAGGGCGCCTCTCCCGGGACATTAGTCGAGAGACCCTGAACGCGGAGAGGGGGTTCCTCGGTTCCCAGAGGAATGTCGGAGGAGACGGGATCCGAGTGTCCCGTTTGTTACGAGAAGGTGTCCCGACACAGCGCGGCCCTGCGGACCCTCACCTGCCGACACATCTTCTGTCACGACTGTCTGGTCAAGACGGTGGTCAACCAGGGGACCAAACCCAAGAGGGTGGTGTGTCCGGTGTGCAGACACGTCACCTTCCTGAGCAAGAGGGGGCTGGTGGCCATGGCCACCGACAAGGCCCCCCCCCAGACCCTGAGGATCCCTCTGCCCACCCCGGAGCCGCCGCCGCCGCCCCCCACCACCGTCCCCGTCCCGCCCCCGCCGGGGGGGGCTTTCGGGAGCCTCTGCCGCTCCCTCCGCGGCTGCTGTCCCGGGACTCCGAGAGCGGCGGCTCAGCGGAGCCGCGTGTTCGTGATCAGCGGGAGGGGGCGGCCCATGAGCGAGGAAGAGCGGAGAGCCCCCGCGGACCGTGGCGGTGGGGCGGGAGGGGGCGGCGCGGGGGGGGGCTCGCGGCGGGGAAGGCTCCGCTGGATCTTACTGCTCCTGGGCTTCGTGATCGTCGGGGCGGTGATCGCAGCGGTGCTGCCCTGGGCCATGACCAACCCGGGACACAAGTAGGGACACAGCCCGAGCCCAGGACCCCCCACACCCCCACACCCACGGCGGCACCGCCACCGCCGCCAACACCGCCACCGCCGCCAACAACGCCGCCAACGCCGCCGCCAACACCGCCACCGCCGCCAACACCGCCGCCAACACCGGTACAGGAAACCTCCGACTCATTCGATCCGCCACGAAGCCGAAGCGCTTTTGGGACGTCTCGACTATTCTCGGCGATACCTCTCTCGAAGGTCTTCTCCCTCCGTTTTATTGATGACTTATTTAACTCTGATTCCCCACCACCACCGGGAGAGGGGAGAGGGGAGAGGGGAGAGGGGGCTCCCGGGAACCTCCCGCGCGGCGATGGTCCCGGAGTTGCGGGCACTTGTGTTACAGAGAGAGGGACATCGGGTCCCAAACGAAGCCGCGATTTGTAAATATTACGATGTCGTTCATCTTTTTTTTTTAAAAAAACGGTACTGTTAAGTACTGTGTAGCACTAAACTGGTACTTCGAGGGACTTTGTTAAACACGAGGAGCGTTCGGATGGATGACCAGAAAGTTGGGAGTGGACCATTGGGGACTTGGGGTCTGTCTCTGAAGGCACAGCAGTGGTTGATGTAGGATCGGGTTCCAGTGGATGGAGCATCAATGGTCCATCTCAGCACATGTCTACCCCCTCTCCCCCCCCAAAAAAAAGGGGACGAGAGACTTATATGCCAACCCCTGGACCCCAGAGAGGTATCTCTGAGCATCTCTCAGTCTACAGAGCATCTGTTGGAGTTTAACAGAGGACACGTGCGATCTGATCTGTAAGAGGGGAAGTAATGTTTTCGTTTTTTCTTTTTTTTTATATATAAAAAAAAACAAAACGCTGCGTCGCTTTCTGACGTGAGAAACAAAAAGTTCTCACCGACCATAAAAATTCAGCCCTGGTCCAAACTCTGTCACTGAACACACCCCAAACCCCCCGGACTGACCCACAGCACTGCAATTAGGACAGGTGGGGTCGGGTGGACAAGTTGCAGAGCCACATATTTCGTTCCTTTTTAATTTGAATTCAAGAAAAAAAGACGGGTCTTCGTAAAATGTGTGTCCGACTATGTTCCGAAGCATCGATGCCACTCCCACCTGTCGCCACACCGCACCAGTTGGATGGAGAGCACCTGTTGGATGGAGAGCACCTGTTGGATGGAGAGCACCTGTTGGATGGAGAGCACCTGTTGGATGGAGAGCACCTGTTGGATGGAGAGCACCTGTTGGATGGAGAGCACCTGTTGGCTGGAGAGCACCTGTTGGCTGGAGAGCACCTGTTGGCTGGAGAGCACCTGTTGGCTGGAGAGCACCTGTTGGATGGAGAGCACCTGTTGGCTGGAGAGCACCTGTTGGATGGAGAGCACCTGTTGGCTGGAGAGCACCTGTTGGATGGAGAGCACCTGTTGGATGGAGAGCACCTGTTGGATGGAGAGCACCTGTTGGATGGAGAGCACCTGTTGGATGGAGAGCACCTGTTGGCTGGAGAGCACCTGTTGGATGGAGAGCACCTGTTGGCTGGAGAGCACCTGTTGGATGGAGAGCACCTGTTGGATGGAGAGCACCTGTTGGATGGAGAGCACCTGTTGGCTTGTGAGATGGGACTTCAGTATCAGTGAAGTGCTCCCAGAGATACGCAGTAGTTCTTGTGCCATTAACGTAGCCAATGCATTGTCACATTGCAAATGTAACCTTTGTCCACTGTCCATAAAAGAATACAGTGCAATATGTACCGACATGTGTTCAGTTTCTCACCCCCACAGTATCATCTGCGTATGATGAAGTGTGTAAAAAAAAATAAGGCACAAAGGATTGACAGTAATGAATATCTCGCATCAAAGAGGCAAGTCGCAGGACATTGAAAGGTGCTCGTTTCTGAGCTGAGGCTTCCACACATATCTGTTTAATTTAAGGGAACATATGGTGTTGCGAGTTTTCCTGCTTTGAAGAGAAAGCAATGCCGTTCATGTATGAAGTGATGGACAGCATTATAGACAAGATGATCTTTTTGAAGTGATGAGGATGGACTTTGGTTCGATGCGAATGTTACATTCGGGTTCTGCACTATTGAAAAATTATATTAAAGCCACGGTGGAGGGTACGTAGATTCGTGAAGGTGTAAATTCCGATGTGTGATTTACTAATGGGAGATGAGCAGGAAGATTGCATGTCAGACCCACCCCAACCAGAGGCGCAGCATTCCTAAAGCATAGCTTTGGTCCCGCAGCTCTGTGAATGTCACAGAGTCATTCAGTCAGTCAGTCCCATTAGGTTGGCTGTGTTTTGAGATCCTGATGAGAGTCTCCCATCAACTCTGGGAACCTGGTCTTGCACTCAGCCCGGAGGGAATGGCTGTCGATGAGCTTTGGTTGTGCTCCACTGACTCCAATCGCTAAACGATGTTGTGATGGTTTGATTTCTATCAGCACATGACCAAGGTCAAACAAATGCAAATGTGTACGCTTTGGGACGTGTTGGTATTGACGCCATACATCTCTGGGGCTCAGAGGGTGTCTGGAATCTCACTCATCCTCTCTCAGGCATTTGGTGGTTCATTGTTCTGAGTTTATTTGCAGATGAGTTTCTGAGGTGACTGTGGAGTGTTCAACATCTGTGCTCATTGACGTTAATGCAACATATTTCTCTGCTTTTAATGTCTAGTGTCAGCTTTGAGTCACTCCCAGGTCACCACAGATGAAGAGAAGGTTGCATTCCTACCCCGTAAATCATTAGCAGTTTGATTTGTGGCGAATAGTAACATGTACACGGGTGAGGTAGAGTACTGGGGAGAACACATTTGGTCCATGACGTACCTGGCCTTTGGGACTGCTCAAAGCTAAAGATTTGTGGAGTCCTGTAGCTCAGTGGTTAGAGCACTCAGCTCACAAGTGAGAGTGGGATGGATTAATGTGGAGAACAACACTTGGTCAGAGTTGATGAGCAGAATGGCCTATTTCGTCCTGGAACTTTTTATGATTTGCTAAGTCCTAAAGAATGAAGGGACACAGGTTAAATCTCTTGTTTGACTTTGTTTTCACTCCCTTTCCCTGGACAAAGAGCCAATTATTAGCCACTAATGGTGCAGGATTTCAATTTACAACCTTGAAGTCGACATGGAGCTCAATCCTTCAGCCAATGTTGACTTTACCAACCAGGTCAAAATGAACAACAAGATTGTTTCTCAAGTCTTAAAAACCCTTTTCAGGTGTTGTAACAACTGGACATTGCTTTAAAATATTATCTCTGGTATTGTTGGTGAGTAAATAAGCCTTGAACTGATATCGCAATGATTTTTAATGCAAAGCATGTGGGCTCGAGGCAATCAATAGTTCAAGTGTCTAGTTTACATCTCAGGTTTCACCAGATATTTGTATTCATGGCCAGAATGACCCAATGATGCTTTAGGGTTTGGGTTAGAAAGCACAAGAGGACTTTACAAACGCTAACCTGTGGTTAAGGGTGGGATTGGGATCTTGAGTATCAGATGAAAGTCAGTGTGTTCAGTTGAATTAATTACCAAGAGACGTCATTCACAGGCCAGGAATACTACAGGCCTCGTCTTTGTTAGGGAAGATTATAAAGCGGTAAAAAGATATTACGAGCCTGGACGGAACCATTCAGAATAAAAACGTGGGAGTTTTACAACAAATTAATTAAGAGACAGAATTCCTTAAATTTGTTTTAAAAAGAACAAATGTATTAACAGAGAGGTGTGGAGTGCTGCATTGCTCCTGAGGGAAGGAGCAAAGCGATTCCAGGCATGATCTGACTCCAGAATGTGTGGCTCCAATGACAACACACTCAAATGTATAGCTTGGCATTCTGTTGACCTTTCCACCCTTTTTTATTTTAAAACTTGAGCTTCAGGTGAAGCTTTGTGCTCCTTGAGTTTGACAGTTCCATTCAAAGTTTTACCCATGCTCATATCTTTGCAACAAGTCACCAAACAGAAGGAAAATCAATCAGAATTTTTTGCTTGATTGATTGTCTGATGATAGCAGCTTCTTGCAGGAGAGTGAGAAAGCACTAGATTTACCATATAGTGAACCTTTCTCACCAGCTCTTAAACTACAGAAAAATATATTTTTCGCCCACAAAATACACAATCAATTCATCCATTACAGACTTTCTTTGGTGTTTATATTTTTGTTTACTGTATCCTATGATTACAGTTGGTAATATATACCATGGAGTCCTGTAGCTCAGTGGTTAGAGCACTCGCTTTGCAAGCGAGAGACCTGAGTTCAATTCCAGGCAGAGGGCGAAACCTTGGGCAAGTTTCCTTACTCCACACAGAGCCTAATAATAATCCTCCAAAACCAAAAACAATAATAAATTGGTCATTTTCAATCTACGACTGTTTGTGGGACATTGCTGTGCGCAATTGGCTGCCGCGTTCGCCCACAAATATACAGTCAATTCACTTTACAGTGTGTTCTGTGAAGCGCTTTGGGATGTCCTCCCGACGTGAAAAGCGCTATATCAAATGCAAGGATTATTATTATTATTATTACCATAGTTACTAGTTAGTAAACAAATATATAGGATATTCACTTTTTAGAGTTAGTGGAGAGAATTTGTGCAGAGAATTTGAACTGAACCATTCCAGAATGCAGATTATTGCAGGTAACCTGGTGGTGAGTCCTCCAGTACACAGTACAGCAAGGAAAATAACCTACAATACAATACAAAATTACATTAGTATAATGACTTTCACATCAGGAGGACGTCCTAAGATGCTGAAAGGATGTAGAAGGATATAGAGTGTAGATAGGCATACAGTGCAGAAAGGTGTAGCATATCAAATGGTCTCATGTATAGACAGGTAAAGCAAACAGAAAGAAACTATGAAAGGATATTAGTAGAAAGAGACAGAATACAGTACAACACGGAGCATGGAAAGGTACAGCACATATAAGGACACAGGGTACAGGAAGGTGTTGACTATGGAAAAATAGTAATTGTTGCATTTAATATAGCACCTTATCACATCATGGAAACGTTTCAAAGTGGGTCACAAGATCTACTGTCAAGTGGAGTGTATTTGAAGATAAATGTGGCATTCAATTTGCATACAGAAAGGATCCACAAACAGTCATGAAGTAAATGAAGACATGTAGTACTCACCCACAAATGCACTGAGGACTGTGTGCTCTGGACAATACCCTGTGTGAGGGATGCTATATAAATGCAAGTTGTTGTTGTCATTGTTCAAGTGTTAGTCTTGACTGGAGTCCAGAGTCCCGAAGTGAGGCTTGGACCCACAAGCGTCTAACTTAGAGGTGAGAGGGAAAGAGCTAAGACATTCTGACATCTCCATACATATATAATACAATACAAAATTACAACAACAACACAACTTGGATTTATATAGCGCCCTCCACGCCAGACGACATCTCAGAGCATTTCACAGTAACGGATCCCGGGGCCGAGCCAGGGGGAGGGGGAGGAAAGTGACCAAAGGCGCGGTCGAACAGAAAGGTCTTCAGCAGAGACCTGAAAATAGGAAGAGAGGGGACGAGACGAAGGGAGTGAGGAAGACAGTTCCAGAGCCTCAGGGCACAGTGGCTGAAGGCACGGATGCCGAAGGTGGAGCGGAGGACTCGGGGGACGAGGAGGAGGCCAGACCCGGAGGAACGAAGGCAAAATTATATTTGTATAGCGCCTTTCACATCGGGAGGACATATAATGTATAGTAAGGTACAGAAAATTTATAACTTAGAAAATGCTACAGTGATATAAGGTATAAAGCACAGAACAGTACAGCACATGAAAATGTATAAACTATGGAAAGGTAATGAACATGAAGGATTTATTATTTGCTTCATTCCAAATCAACAGCTCATCCTATTGCAATATATATCTGTGTTGCTGGACTAAACAAAATATCCCAAGGACACATGTTATAATAATAATCCTATAATAATAATAATCCTTGCATTTGATATAGCGCTTTTCACGTCTGGAGGAAGTCCCAAAGCGCTTCACAGAACACACTGTAAAATGAATTGACTGTATATTTGTGGGCGAACGCGGCAGCCAATTGCGCACAGCAATGTCCCACAAACAGTCGTAGATTGAAAATGACCAATTTATTATTGTTTTTGGTTTTGGAGGGATTATTATTAGGCTCTGTGTGGAGTAAGGAAACTTGCCCAAGGTTTCGCCCTCTGCCTGGAACTGAACTCAGGTCTCTCACTTGCAAAGTGAGTGCTCTAACCACTGAGCTACAGGACTCCACAATTAGCTGATGTGGTTGTAATTATCGGGACACAAGATATTGTGTTTGGTGAAGTGGACCGTTAGATCATCGATGGAAATAATCTAAAATTATAATATAATTTAATAATATAATTGAATAATAATTTGGTCACTCAATCTACGACTGTTTGTGGGACAATGCTGTGTGCAATTGCCTGCCACCCTTTGCCCGCAAAACACAGTCACAACACTTTACAGTATATTCTGAGAAGTGCTCTGAGACATCTTGAAGATGTGATAAGGCGTTGTAAGGATTATTATTATTATAGGTATGCATTTGTGTATGTGTGTATGTTGGGGAAGGAGGGTCTGTGTGTGTGTGTGTGTGTGTGTGTGTGTGTGGCGGTGGAGCAAATGCTGCTGCGAATGAGGTATTGTATTTCCGTGCAATCTTCAATGTAAGATGCTCAGAGCCAAATTTTCCTTTAAAAACTGCCGGCCTCAGCGTGCACGGCATCTGGGTTGCCAAGTAACCGAGGCCAAACAGTGTCAATGGCGACTCGGACAAAGCAGAGCGTACACAGCGTGTGCTGGGAGATGGCTGATGCCGCCTGTACCTGTCCACCCCGCCAGTCCCTCTTCACACTGCAGCGGGAGCAGAGGCGAACCAGGAAGGTTTGTAAATACCATAATCCCTTTGCCCGTCACACTTTCTGCACATTGTCTGCACTTCACTTAACCCCTTCCCCACCGCTGCCCCTTCACCGTAAAGCATTTCACATTTCACTCAGATTAAACACCTGAGCAGTTATTTAGTGTAATCAACGCACAATAAGATCAAATACGGCCATGTGTGTGTACATTGTACATACATGTACATACTGTAATCCCTTCTCCTTTCACACTTTCAAAACATTGTCTGTACTTAGCCCGTTCCCCATCGCTGCCCTTCACTGTAAGGCGTTTCACATTTCACTCAGATTAAATATCTTAGCTGTTATTTATTGTCATCAATCCAAACAAGATTATATACTGCAGTGTTTTGTGGTAGTAATTCAGGAAAGACTGGATGTGATTTGATGAATTGGACCTTGCCAGATAATAATTCCCAAGTGTTCCAAGGAAATTACAATTTGCAAAAGTAAATCATCCAAATAAAATGATAGATAGGCATATTGACAGGCAGACACGTACACACACATCCAATGTTTGTTTGTTGTAGGATCCTCATTTACAAATAAATATCCTAAATAGTGTAACAGCAGAATGTAGCATCATTTAAATATCCTGCACCTTTTCACTCCATGCAAAGCCCCTCTCTGTTCTGTTGTTGTTTGGTTAGTCCTGCAATGGGAAGGAGATTGATTGTTGCTTTTTTTTTATTGTTATGAAGCAGGACCTTGACTTCCAGAAAGGATGACACCAGAATCAAACCATAATCCAATGTTTCTCCTCTCTCCTCACCAAATCTATGGCACTCCATGAACCTATCTCTTCCTGACCACCATTCTTTGTGGAATTATTTTTGGGTCAGCCAGTTGTCTGACCCAAAGAGAAACCACGTTTTAAGTGTCCAAACCAGACCGAGAAGTTCACACATGCATGGAATGGAGTGCACACTCTCTCCCCATAGGTACTCACTCTGCTTACCTATTCCCAGAAAGTACCTAGGGACAGATTGGAAAGGAACACTCTTGGCAATGCTAGAGTGTGTGTTGAGGTAATGCTGGAGTTTAACCAACTAAAACATGTAGCTTGCCATTGCAAACAATGTCTGGCAAGCTGGGTGGTGTGAATAGATTGAATAATGGCTTTCAAAAGAGAATTAGATAGGTATTTGAAGAGGTATAAATTTGCAAGGATATGGAAAAGAGTGAGACTGATCGGGTAGCTCGTCCAAAGAGCTGGCACAGGCACGATGGGCCGAATGGCCTCCTTCTGTACTGTATTCTATGATTCTTAGTGCCCCCTGTTTGTCCACCTAGGACTACCCTACCCCTTAGAGCTTGGTTTGCAGTGTTAACAAGAGCCAAGTGGAAAGAATTCCTGCCCCAGTGATTGTCTATTCATCCATATTGTGCCCATGAACCAAATTGGTTAGTCTGTCCTCAAAAGTGACTTCCTTTCACAGATCTATCTCACTTAGGAATTAAGAGTACCAAGATCGCCACAAATTGATTGTGATGTTCTATTACTAAGCACGCCACCTTGGAATTAACTTGGCACGAGGAAGACCCCATTACTCCCATCCCCACCTCCCCATAGTCAATATGTGCACAATCTCTGTCACTCTTCTCCAATCCAGAAAATTCCCTTTGAAAATCTGACACTTGACATTTACCTGTAAAGTTTACTCACATTTAAAAGCACAGATTTCACACAGGAGTGACAATGTGGCCAGTACTATGGATTACACATTTGCAATCCTCATAATCTCCAAAAGTAAACCATCAAATGCAATGATTAATCAGATAGATAGACAGACAGAGATATTATACCCCTTCCTCCACATACATGTATACATACACACCACACACGCATACATACACACACCATATGTAGATACATACAAGATGCAATTGGGAACATCTCCACGAGAATGTTCTCGACATGTACTGGATCTCTCGCCTGTTTGCCTGCAGTGAATGATTCTTTAGTCTGAATGGGAAACAGCTCACAGCATCACCTACATAAAATGTTGATCCGTTGTCCGAGCAACAATTCCTTTCGCTAAATGATCACAACGACAACAGCAAACCCGGCCCCGCGGTTTGTGTGAGTTGCCTGGACACCATCCCAATGCCAAACCAAGCCAAGCCTTGTGAGGACAGCCTGTCTGCATTGCTGTTCCCATTGGCGGGGGAGGTGGGGGCTGGTTGGCTTAGCTCTGCTCTGCTCGGCAGGTTTGGGGGTGGAACGTGGGCAATGCTGACTTCACGTCATTGCAAGAAAACAGAGGAAAGTGGGGGGAGAAAGAAAATCCCCAAGTTACTGTGGGGAGAGAGAGAGTCCTGCTTGGCTCAACTCATTGCCCAGAGGAGAATGGGGAAGTCGGGCAAAGAGGAGGCGGTGAGTGTCAGACAGACTAGACTAGACAGAGGACATCCTCACCCCCAGCTCACTGATGATGAGCTGTGTCAAGCTGAGGACATAATTACTCAGACTTCCCTTGTTTTTTTTTCCCTCTAGAAATCCCTCCTCCACAGATTGTACCTTTTGGCGAAAATCTCCCCAGACCTGGCTGACAAGAGGCACCTGGCAGGTAAGAACCGCTTCGTCTCCATCACAAACAACAAAACAACAAGCAGAAGCCATGGCGCATTGCCACCCATCTGGGAATCTCACCTCACAAACCCCTCATCCAAACCACAGTGGAAACCGGCAGGAAAATACGCACAGCGCACACTGCAAATAGAGGCGAAATTATACATGGCACCTGCTCACAAAGACAGAGAGGAGGGGTGGGGTCTAAACCTGAAAGAGAATCCCACCATTCGAGACTATTTACTCTGTCTGTGGCTTATGCTATTCTCTAATGTCTTCGTCCTCCCTCTAGGTTTGTTTGCAGACAATCTAACCTGATCTAAATACCCTTCCCCTTGTTTGGGCTTCTGCCACCTCCTTCCCCACCCCACCCATCCCTCCTCCCTTTCTATCTGCATCTCTCTCTCTCTCTCCCAGCCTTGCAAAAAGCTTAAAAATGCTCTCCCTACGTGAGGACACAGGTGCAAATTGCAAATTGTTCTGTATTCTCACCCAGAGCACACTGTGGGTTCCCGAAGCCTTGGCTCTTGCCAACCTGCGCCTAATACTTTCTGGAATTAGGTAAGCAGGATGCATCCCTCCAGGGAGAGAGTGTGCATTGCATTCCAACAATCTATCTCTGGGATTTCCAGGTGGAAGTTGGAAGCATGGAAATCTCAGCTTAGTTTGGACACTCTTAAGCATTGTAATAATTATATCGATATTATTATCAGCGTCAGTAACCATAGTGCACGTTGATAAATGTTTACTCACAATATTTATTGTTTTATTTCTTTCTGGTATATTGCAGTTTACTATCAAAGCTTATTCCAGAAACTTCAGCGTTTGAACCCAGGAGAAGGAATTACAGGACACCTCATGCTGTACTCTGATTGCGCTGTTCATGCCATAGAGGTAAGATGCATATTGATGCAAACCTTCATATAGACAGAAGCAGAGCTTTTGTATCAACTCTATTTGTCTATCACCTCTTCAACCCCTCTCTAATCCTTGATTTGTTGTTTGAAATCTTGTTGTCAAGTCTAGAGACTGTGTATTTGTAGGCACTGAACACTGAAGAAACAGCCATGAGGTGAATGATCGATTGATCTGGAGGATTGATGGCCAGGAAACTGCTAGAAACTCCTTTCTCATTTCAAATTGTGTCATTGGATGTTTAATATAATATAATACAATATTCCTTGCATTTGATATAGTCCCTTATCACGTCTTCTGGACCTCTCAAAGCACTTCACAGAATATACTGTAAAGTGTAGTGACAGTATATTTTGTGGGCGAAATGTGGCAGCCAATTGCACTTAGCAGTGTCCTACAAACAGTCGTGAATTGAGTATCAATTTTTTTTTAACATTCACCTGAACAGGCAGATGGAACCTTTCATTGATGAACAGCACTTCTGACATTGCAGCATTTTGAGCAGGTACTGCATTAGTCTGTGTCAGACTGCAAGCTCAAAGTCTCAAAAGTCTCAACTTGGGGCTTGAACCCACAACCATCTGACCTAAAGGCAAGAGCGCTAATCAACCCAAGCAAGCCAAACACCTGTACCCTTTTTTTTGTATTTAAATCTTACTTGATAACTACTTACCTTTATTGTTAATTATAAACCTGTTCCCTTATCTAATCTGAGATTGCTACAACTTTAAAACCTTAGCTGAAAATATAAAGGTTGGCTTTCAGCCAGAAATGCCTACAAAATGTTAACAAGGTCAATCTTTAACACCTTTCAGCATCAGATGTGGCAGGATTTCTCAGAAAAGCAAACTGGAGCCTGACACTTCTCAGACCGGCAAACTGATGCCCGGTGCTGGAAGGGTTAAATGCACATTGGCCCAATTTGGCATTCTCACCTCAGAGGACACACACGGCATCTGAGACCCCAAATTTCTCCTGAGCGAAGGCCAATGTCTTAAAATTGACGAATTGTGCAGAATTCTGGACAATTCTAAAATTCAGTCTTGATTTGGAAGATCTACAGAAATCTGAAATGTTAATTTAAGAAGTTGATGCTTTGCCCAACAACCCAACTGGACCTTGTACTTACAGCAGAAAGAATCACTGACTAATTCAGGGAGTGCTCACTGCAGAGAACTGCTCGGACTAACATGTACAGATCCAGAAGAGGGCAGAGCAGCACCGCTTTCAGCTGCTCAAAGGTACCAGAATAAACACTTTGAGCACTGTAGTGTAGTGCTCTTAGTATAGTGGGTGAAACAACGCAATGTTAATGGAAATGAGGGAATATATAATAATAATAATTCTTGCATTTCATATAACATTGTCTCAAAGCATCTCAAAGCCCTTCACAGAATATATTGTAAAGTGTAGTGACTGTATATTTTGAGGGTGAAATATAGTATTTATATTATATTATAGTCCAGAGGTGATCCTAATCTATGCATGAAACTCTGACACAATAGTGGAAAAGAGAAGAGACTTTCTCCCAGTGTCCTGGCCAACAACCCTCCACTTGATCATTTATTTCATGGTTGTTTGTGGAATCCACAAAAATACACACCTGACAATTTACCTGTAAAAACTCTTTGAGGAATTTCAATTTCAACGTGATAAGGCATTATAAAAATCCAAGTTCTGCTGTATTCCATTTCAATTTCCCCACACTTTTTTAAATTCTTCCCTTTTTAATTTATTTTTCTACCTGGTCAATGTTTGAAATTTCCTGTAAATTTAAATGTAACAGGTCTTGCATCCTAGAACAAAACCACCCCAAAAAATGCAATTTACTTTGAATTACTTGTTGTTACTTATGGAGTTTTCTCCTGGCGCAAATTGGCCCACATCCAACCCTATCTCTAAAGTTGACTCGATACCTAACAATAAACAAAACCCCTCATCCTAAAAAAAACTAATAATAATAGTAATAATCCTTGCATTTGATATAGCGCTTTTCACGTTGGGAGGACGTCCCAAAGCGCTTCACAGAACACACTGTAAAGTGAATTGACTGTATATTTGTGGGCGAACGCGGCAGCCAATTGCGCACAGCAATGTCCCACAAACAGTCGCAGATTGAAAATGACCAATTTATTATTGTTTTTGTTTTGGAGGGATTATTATTAGGCTCTGTGTGGAGTAAGGAAACTTGCCCAAGGTTTCGCCCTCTGCCTGGGATTGAACTCAGGTCTCTCGCTTGCACTGAGCTACAGGACTCCACAATGATGCTTGCATTTGATATAGTGCCTTATCACATCATCGAAACATCTCAAAGCGCTTCACGGGATACACTTTAAAGTGAATTGACTGTATTTTGTTGGCAAAACTTAACTTTATAAACAAAACCTAAACCTAAACGTACCCCTAACCCTAAAACAAAACATTAACCTCGGGTCTAATGTGCTTTCTTAGAGAATAAACCAAAGTACGCTCATTAAGAAATCACCATTGAATAAACAAGCAGTTTGCAATCCATGTTAACTCTCTCCCTCTCAGTCCTCCAGTGAGGTGCTGTACTCAGTGCTTCGGGATGCGCAAGACATGAAGCAAGGAGACAGGTAAGGCTGTGAGTCTGTGACTATAAACTCTACCAGTCTGCCTGCCGTTATTGGTTACCAGCCTTCCCACCCACACCAACTCCCCCCCAACACCAAACCCTCACCAGCACACCAACCCCTCCCAACACCAACCCCCCACCGCACCAGCCTCCCACACAGCATCATACATCACACAGCAACCTCCTCACATAGCTGCTGTGTCAGTGATTATTGAATGAATGTTTGTGGCTTTTTTGTCCTTCGTCACTTCACTTTTCCCCTTTCCTTTGCTGACAGTGGTGACCAATGCTTTGGTACCTTGTCATCAGCCGAGGCTTGGCAGTGAGTGCCAGCCGACTGTGGGAGCATGTGATGGGAGGGTTATTGGAGACAAGCTCATGAGGTTGCTAACTCAGCACAGAGCATGGATTGAGGCTGGGTCCTTCCAGGTCTGTGTGGCTGAGTTTCATTCCGGATTGTTGTCATTATCAACTAAGTCTCAGCCTGACGTGATTTGAATCATTCAGGAGGCAAATTGTAAACGCAGTAAATTTCTTTCACGCTCATGAATAGGCCGCAGCTCAACAGTGAGGAGGGAGGTTGAGAGAAGAGCAGTTGGCAAGAGAGGAGCAGCAATAGCCTTTATGGTACATAGATTTGTTGGTTAGGGACACATTTCAAAGCATCTTGGAAAGGGAAGAATTGGCCTGTATTTTGCTGGATGTGTTCCAGCTTCTAATGGAGGTTCAGGAAGCTGCAAACTCATCGTGTCTCATCTGTATTCTAATGTCAGACACGTGACATACATTCCTAGTGAGCTGCAAATGTCAGCCCCTGCCTCAAGCACAGCAAGACTGAGGATTTCAAATGTATGAGTGAAGACGACAGCGAACCTGTGCTCTGCTGTACATCGCATCACTGTACGGTTACTCGTGTCACTCCGCCGTTACTTACTACACTCTGCCATTTCTCACACCACTCTACAATCAGTGCTCTAGTCAGATTGCACCTGAAATACTCTGTACAATCCAGGTCCGGGTCACTGCAACATAAAGGACCAAGGTACAGGCTGCGGAGGCAGTGCAGAGGAGATCAACGGAGATGATCTCCAGCGTTTGTGGGATGAGCCTTGGGCATGGATTAGATAAGATGGGGTGCTTCAGCTTAAAAAGAGACATCTCAGATTTATCTTTAGGGCAGACATTAAGAAGTATTTCTTTACACAGAAGGCAATTAGCAGGTGGCATGGTTTACTGGGAAGGCTGGTTGTACCCATAACTTTAGACATAAGAAACAGCTTGGGGCCAAAGATCACAGATCTGCTGGGTTCACGTGACCTTCTTTACCCTCACGTTGTGTGATCTTGTGACCCTCCTATTTGCAATCCGTCACTTTTAATGGATTTTCAAATCCTGAATGGACATTACATGATGAGCTTTGTTTCAGAGTTTTACTTCTGGAGTCAAAAATCCTGGTGATATCACACAACATTCCCAGCAGACTGTTCCAGCAGTGGGAATACCATCAGGTTCCAACCATAACCACACAGCGACTGGATGACGCTTTGCAGAAGGAACCAACGGAGAAAGTCATCAGTGAGTGCCTCAGCCTGCTCCTGAGGCTTGGTGTGCACATGAGGGATGCCCACAAGGTAACTAACTGGGTCTGAGCTCTGGAAACTTGGCCTGTTGATGAGACAGGAACCTTTTGGTTCAAACTGGTCCAATTTAACTTGATGAGTTACTTCACAACCTCACTGTCATACTGATCCAAGCACCCTTCTTCTGTTGGAATCCTCATATCATTGCTTTTATCTCAATGAGAGATTTCCCCATTACTCTCATTGTCAGCCTTCCTAGCTTCACAAGTGCCAACTTATATAACAAAAAAACTCTGAAGCCTGTATTCCTTTCCCACATCAGACTCCATCACTCCCATTCTCACCAGTCTCCACTGGTCTCAGCACCTCAAAGGAGCAACTTCAAATCACTTCTTGGTTGTATAATAATAATCCTTGCATTTGATAGCGCTTTTCATGTCTTCGAGACATCTCAAAGCGCATCACAGAATATGCTGTAAAGTGAATTTACTGTATATTTGTGGGCGAAACGCGGCAGCCAATTGCGCATAGTAGAGTCCCACAAACAGTCGTGGATTGAAAATGATCAATTTATTATTTTGGGGGGTTTTGGAGGGATTATTGTTAGGCGTGTGGAGTAAGGAAATTTGCCCAAGGTTTCGCCCTGCCTCAAATTGAACCCAGGTGTCTCGCTTGCAAGGTGAGTGCTCTAACCACTGAGGACTCCATGTAAAGAATTTTACAGCAATAGGAGGAGGTCCAACTAGATTGGAAATGTTTAAAGTTAGCATAAGTAAACCTTCACTTCCAATCCAGGCACTATACAAATGTTGTTGTTGTTGTAGTCCCCTTGTGTTCTTAACTTGCTGTGTTCCTATGTTGTTAGAGCAAAGAGCAGACACAGACAGTCTCCAACCATCTAAGCCAATGCGTAGGCAATGTTCCAGAAGGTCTGGATGGACTCCTGGAGGACATTCCTGAACTGATTGTCCCCCTGGATGTGATCGATCGGCTCTTGAAATGTAACGAGCTTTTAACCCCAGCTCAATTCCTGGAGATGTATGATTCTCCTTTAAACATAATTATGGATTCAGGTACGTTACACCAATAGGCCAAGTAAAACTGTAGAGGTAAAGAAAGAAATGCATTGGAGAAGCTTAAACATGTTCCTGTGTCAATCTACCTGAGGTTCAGCCTTGAAAATGCTACTTTTAACAACCACATTTTTGTGCAAAATCCTTACTTGCAGTTAACCTTCTATTAAGCAAATCTCTTGACAATTTTAAGTTAAAATGTAAGATCTCAGTGTAGATATCTGTCCTGTAGCTGGCTCGAGAGTGGGTGCAAGGCAAAGGGATTAAGGGAGAGAAGTTCCACAGCTTCGTGGCGTAGTGTCTGAAAGCACGGCCACTGATGGTGGGCAAAGGGTCTGGGGGACAAGGAGGAGGCCGGACAGGCTTTCTTCAGGTGTCCCAGGCCAGTGACTAGTGGGCTGCTCTCTCAGGCTGCCGGTAAATGGCGATGTGCAGCTTGCTCAAACTGCTATAAATCCAAAGCCACAATCTTGTTGGCAAATTTGATCAATCTCTCTTTCACCACTCGAACCGTACCTTCCTTTGAAAACACTGGTTTTCAGCTGAAGACTGTGTTCAGTTCTGGGCACCACACTTTAGGCAGGATGTCAAGGCATTGGAGAGGCTGCAAAGAAAATTTACCAGGATGGTACCAGAAATTAGTTATCAGTTATCAGGAGAGGCCAGAGAAGGCAGGATTATTCTCTTTGGAGCAGAAAAGGTTAAGAGGAGACTTGATAGAAGTTTTCAAAATTATTAGGGGATTCGATAGGGTGAACATGAAGAAATTATTTCCATTGGTGGGTGGATCTGTAATCCGAGGACACCTATTTAAAATAGTTGTTAAAAGAAACAGAGGGGAAGTGACGAGAAATTTTTTCATGCAGCGAGTTGTTTGGATCTGGAATGCATTGCCTGAAAGGGTGGGGGAAGCCGATTCAATAACAACTTTTAAGAGAGAAGTAGATAATTATTTGGGGAGGACAAATTTGCAGGGCTATGGGGAGAGAGTGGGGGAGTGGGATTGCATTGGAAGCTCTTTTCAAAGAGCCGGCATAGACACGATGGGCCGAATGGCCTCCTTCTGATTCCGTGAACTGCTGTCATCACCCACTCCTCAAAAACAACACCCTTGACCTCTCCACCCTATCTATCACCCTTTATTATAAAATATTAATTATTATTAAATATTATTAAATGCACAGCCAATTCATTTTACAATATATTGTGTGAAACGCTTTGAGCCTCAGCGATGTGATAAGGCATTATTATTGTTATTACTTACCTGGATAAGACGTCAGAAATGTTGAACAGTGTACATCAGTAGAGCTGCCTGATTGTACATCATAGATTTCCACAGCACTGCATTCTATGTGATTGGTTTCATCACATTTTTTTTTATGTTGGTTAAAGGACATGTTTTTGGAAGCACCAACTTAACGCGTGTTTAACGCGTCTCTGAAAGAACACTGTGTTAGCAGAAGGTATGCTCCAGTCACCCATCAATATCATGTATGCTTTTCATCAGCATGGCTTAACATTGCAAGCATTCACTAAGAGATTAATATGAAGCCACCCTCATTGAACAGTAGTTTGCATGAAATAGTGTAGATATTAACTGCATGTTTTACAATATTGTCTCTGCCTTAGAGAACTTTGGGTCCTAAGTTCTATGTAGGTAAGACTGGACTTTCTATTCCAATGTTCAATTGGTATCAAATATACTGCAGTATGTTTTTCTGTTCAGAAATCCAAATCTCTAAATCCTGGTAGGAATACAGTGGCAATGGGTTCTAAGCAGAGATATTTCTTAATAAGAAATATATAATTATCAAAATATCTAAAATACTCTGTGTGCCTGGGAATGTACTCTTCAGCATATTACACGTTTAATAAACTCTAAAATGACACATTCCTTGTTAAGAAATCAGTAAATAAATAATACACCTGAGACCAATGTCTTTGCCATTGACTGGATCAAAAGGTTCATTGAATGGCATTTTGCATTAGAACAGATATGCAGAAAAATATCCACTAGTAAATCATCCAGCATATTCATTCCTTATTTATATTATAGTATTGTTTCATATATACATGAAAACAATGAGGTTCTAAAAATACTTTGGGGAGGTGTTCTCATCATTACCAATCCTGATTTATATAGAACATTACATCTAACCAGAATAAGTGGCTTAGAGGCAGAGTCCTGGCTTTCTATAATTGGAATATAGAGTCTTTAGTCTTTGCAGTCACGACAGACGTATGAGTTCAGCTCCTGGATGGCTTAGTAGCTGTTGGGCGCTATGAAAAAAGTGCTGTAACTACTCCTGCATCTATTTAATCACGTTTTAGATGTTTAGCTTTCTAAGTGTGAAGTGAGTGCCAGTGGACTGTTTAATATAACCGTGTTCCTTTACAGAATTGGTATGGCCCTCACCACAGCATATCCTGCCCATCATCAGAAAATAACATTGGATGTGAAGTGCAATCATAACAGCTCCTTGTTTGAAGGCAACGTGCGAATTGGGTCTTAAGGTTTTGAATCAGGGATAGATGTGTGAATTATTGTACAAACAAGGAGTGCAGTGCTTCTGAAAAACAGAAAACAAAAGATTAAAAGCTTATCTAATAACTAACCAAATTATATAGACACACATACATACACACATATGCTTCTGATGAATACATACAAACTATTTATTAATTGTTTCAATTGCCGGGGATTGCGAGACGTGGCGAGCTCTTCATTGAGACCACAGGGTTTTTGTGACACCAGGACCTCAGCGAAAGACTCATCAGCTGGAGGATGAACAGACGCAGAGATCAGACCTGCGGAAGTGCTTTTAGGTTATTCGATCAAGTTATGAAGCTGATCCAATTTACGGCATTGCTGGACAGTGAGGGCAGGAATGATGAGCGAACACAAGAGTTTGGTTCAGGTTTGGGGTTTGATTGAAAGTCTCGAGAAACAAGTCTCAACCTTCCTTGGATTTAAAGGAGGCAAATGTCTTGAATGCTTCAGAGCAAGGATATAATCCCGAAGAACTGCCCCTGCTTTAATACTGAGTGGAGGACTGAGTCATTCACAGTGATCTTTTCTTAGGAATTCACACGTCCAAACTGTTGGTTACACTATAACTGTTATATATTTGTTAGGTCAGGGTATTAAGGGATATGGGGCAACGGTGGGTAACTGGACTTGAGGTACAGATCAGCCATCTTATAAAATGGCAGAACAGGATCGAAGGGATGAATAGCCTACTCCTGTTTGTTTCTATGTTTTTATCCCACATTTCTACTGGATTTTTTCCCCCAGATTCTGAAGCTGCTTCTGGGTCCACACCACCAGACTTAGAACTTGACATTTCAAACAAATTGCCATTGGCTCTTTTTCATGCAGTTAAATCTCAGGATCCCCAACACACATTGGTTGAGCTCCACACACTTTCATAGCTGGTCAGAGCATGGGTCACTGACTTTTCCATCGATTAATCTGTACCAGGATAAAAGGGGAATCAGTCTGTTTGCACTTATGGGTTTTTAGCAAAGTTGACAGCCCATCTTTCTTGGTTAAGAGAGGGATCAATGATCAGTGGATTTCTAATCCTAGACTGATGAAACCCCTTGCCCTGTGAGTTACATCCCAAGCTTGTTGGGTAGTCCTAATGCTGTGTTGGGTAGTTCTAATGCTCTTTTGTCTACGTGACATTATTAGCATGTGGGTGATATCTGCCCCAGTACATCCATCTCCAGCTCAGTCCAACTGATGGAGAGGGGCGTGTGAGAAAATTGATTAAAAAAAGGTCAAAGAAAGCAGGGAGTGTACAAGCCAAGCTCTCTGCAGAGAGCAGTACAAGTCATTGTAATTCTTTCTGTGTGACTGAATCTGCCTGCACAATCAATACATCTTCAACTGCAGTGAGAACTTGCCTTTCTCATCTAACAGCACGGGATTAACCTCCTTGTCTACAGTCTCCGGACATTTTATGTTCAAAATTCCCCTTGGCCTTTCCCTGTGAGGCTGTTTAGTCTTTAAAATTTAAGATCATGTAGAATTGGGGGAAATTCTTAAAATTCGGTCAATATTTGGAAACTGGTTTTCCGCGGTTCTTAAAAGGTAAACTTTTTTTGAGACTAGAGTGAAACTAAGCAGCTGAAATTGGAAAGACTGTCCTGTGCTGAGGAGCACTGCTATTCTCCATTCCGTGCTCCGATTGTAATCTTTGCTCTTAATCAGAAAATGTGCTTTTTCATGGACTTTAGTTGAAATATTCTTTCGCTGTGAAGAAAACGGACAGCAACGTCTTTTAATTACAAGGAAAACTGTCTATTCAAGTTTCTAAAACTGACACCTTTTGTGTTAGATGGATGATACTGGATGTGGTTTAAATAGATTTTCAGTAGGTTTTTGATATGTGCCATATAAGAGGCTAAATGCAAAAGATTAATGCTTTCATATTTTGTCAAAATGTGTTCTAGTTTTGCTGATATGAAACAGAAGCATTTTGCAGGACACAGAAAATCTGAGCTACATTTTATGATATTTCACTATTTTTATTTCTAGTTCAGTTTTCTCTCCAGGTTTTAGACAAGAAAACACAGATGAGGGAATCCGCACTATTTTCTTTTTCAAAGATAGCCACTAAAACCCTTTCATTTCAAGGACCGCTTGTTTTGAAGCATATAATTATATATTTTCAAGAATGTGAAGAAAACGGACAGCAACGTCTTTTAATTACAAGGAAAACTGTCTATTCAAGTTTCTAAAACTGACACCTTTTGTGTTAGATGGATGATACTGGATGTGGTTTAAATAGATTTTCAGTAGGTTTTTGATATGTGCCATATAAGAGGCTAAATGCAAAAGATTAATGCTTTCATATTTTGTCAAAATGTGTTCTAGTTTTGCTGATATGAAACAGAAGCATTTTGCAGGACACAGAAAATCTGAGCTACATTTTATGATATTTCACTATTTTTATTTCTAGTTCAGTTTTCTCTCCAGGTTTTAGACAAGAAAACACAGATGAGGGAATCCGCACTATTTTCTTTTTCAAAGATAGCCACTAAAACCCTTTCATTTCAAGGACCGCTTGTTTTGAAGCATATAATTATATATTTTCAATGCATCGAACAAATGTTTATATAACAGATATATTATGTTCTTTGATAGTTCTACACTCTTTATGATCTTTTAAAATAAGTCACTGTACTGAGAAATGTATTAGGTTCTGTACACTATGGAGCCATTAGCATGTAACCAGTCTAGCCTCCATTCCTTAAATACACAGTATAATTTTAATACAACATTTACATAGACATCAATTAAAATCTATTCATAAAAGGTATTCTCTGGCATGATAACGTTCAAAGTTTTACAGCCACAACAATCCATTTTAATAGTCACTATCCACATACAAATTGCTCCGGACACATTAATACTGACAACTTTCCCACCATTCTTGTTTAAACATTTCCAGGAATATTGGCAATTACCAGAATTTGTGCACATATACAAATGTATCTTGATTACTGTATTTAACCTCATCCTCCGTTGGACTGTATAAACAGACAAATACTGGGATGTGAGTCAACCAAACAAAGTTATTACATTTTCCATTATAATTTGTTACATCATCAGAAAAGTAAGATTTGATTTTTGTGTGAATAGTCACTTCTAGAAACGGATTCTGTTTGTGATACTGTACTGGAGACACTTTGACTGCCTATTGTCGTAAATATGAAGTGGGACAGTTTGGGCTCACAAACAGTGCTTATAACATATCCTGAGTGTACCTTTCCAACTCGCACATAGGTTTCCTTTAGTCAAGAAAATAAATGTTTTCATTTTTTCAATTACTTCCCCACCCCTCCCCCCATTGTACTCCTATTTTAACACGCTTTCAGATACTCAGACCCGCCCTCCACCCTTAGATTTCTTCCTGCCTGTTAATGGAAATGGCTCATTCCACCGCAAACACAAACTTCTGACGATTTATGAATGGAAGAAACTTAAACTAAAGATCCCAACCTCGCAGATGCGAAATTTCACTTTCGTTTTTCGAAGAATCACAAGACCTTTGCCATATTTACTCGTTACACACCGAAGCCCAAACTACAACAGTTCCCCAAAAGAAAAAAAAATCCTGACACATAAGCTAGAGGAAGAGTATTGTAACGCTTGATTCCATGCGGGAAATAGCAGCGGTTGCGTGATACGCAGTCGTCTCAGGGCATTCTATATCATGAAAAATACAGGCATCAATTCAGTGACAAGAGGTGCAAAGGGCAAGTCTGTTTCTTAATCCTTCAGGTAAGGCTTAAAAAAAAAGTTTTAACGTGAAATCAAAAACTTGATCAGACAACACTTGTGTGGGCCTGATCAACTAAACCCAAGCCAAATTAGCGTTTCCTCCTATTGTACTCCAACAGTCAATGGAAGCAGCTTTTCCTTGTAACAGTACGTGAAGAGATGCCCCATTCATCTACTTTTCTGTAGATGTACAATATGTACAGCTCAAGTCACACAGATGTTGTGTTCCTATCATAGGACAGTACTTTCGGACTCCTCGTCGGAATCTGCTCTTATTTCATCAGAGTCTGCTACAGAGTTTGTGCAAGTGTGGTCTGAAGGGTCAGTGTGGAGTGCAGCATCAAGCTCGACTGACTTTCCAAAAGAGGCGTCCGGATCACTGGTATCTGGAGGCAGTGAGAAGAAAAGAGTCGTTAGCATGGCCACACGGTCACTGAGAACATGTTTCAAATGGCTTTGCAGTCAATGTCCTGGTTAGAGCCGGTAGCTTGTGACAAATAATAGGGATGTCACAATATGGATTTCTGACAAGGTCAGAATCGGTGCTGATTTGTATTTTGTGCCCAGTTCCTGCCAATTCTGTCCTTTCCTAGTAAATCCCGGGTACGTTTCAATGCAAATAAACTTCATTTTGGTCTCTGTAGTTAAAACTGTGCAACACTTCAGCGAAGTGCAGTTCTAGATTCTGTTGAGTGTACAGTTATAATATAATAATCCTTGCATTTGATATAGCGTCTTATTGGGTCATTGAGGCATCTCAAAGCGCTTCACAGAATATACTGTAAAGTGAATTAACTATTTTGTGGGTGAAACGTGGCAGCCAATTGCGCACATAGCAATTTCCCACAAACAGTCATGGATCAAATGAACAAACTATTATTTTTTTCGAAGGGACTATTACCCCCGGAAAGTGATCCGCCAATCAACTAACAACCGTGTTCCTACTTACTGCTAGTTAATAATGACCCTGAGAGAAGAAACATATGGCAATGTTACATTTTATTTGTTTAGCTAAATTATTAATTAATCCTTTGTTTCATACATAATGGTCATATCATGTGGGCTTGATTGATTTTATGTGGCTTGTGCTGGAACAAATGAGGCAAGCGACTTCACTGCCGCTCCAAACACTGTACTGTCAATTGCCGTTAATCACATTCCTGTTTTAATTTAATAACCAGGATTAATTTGCTCCCCAATTTGATTTTTATTCCAAACTTGGTGTAAAAAGCTTAAAAACTCTTTTTGCGCCGGTCTCCATCATGTTATTTTAGACGCAGTATGTCAAACATAGGCTATGTAAATCTAATTAAGACTACTTCCAGTTACAGCTGATATTTACCATGTACTAGGTGTAAAACTCTACAACTATTCTACAAACCCAGTACATTTCTTCATTGTAGTCACAAACAAAATGTGCCTGAGAGGCATTTATTATCAAAAATGTTAGTTACAATTTTACTGCTTGTGACATTGCACAGAAAGGACAGCTTGTGTAGTTGAATGCAATCTATCATATAACTAACATGTAAAGAAAATGATAAATGCCAGAGGCCTGAAATTCCTCATGGACTCAGGCTTAAGATCAGTATCTTAAAATTTAAGATTGTGCCAAATCTTGGAAAATTCTTCAAATCATCTCAGTTTGGAAGCCACTTTTCCTGTAGTTTTTGTTGGCTCCTGTGCAAAAAGGGTGTCTGTATTACGACTGAATTGAAGAATTTTTGCACAATTCTCTATGACCTTAAATTTTAGGTCCACGATGTTAAGGCTGAGATGCTGAGAAATTTGGGCCTCAGATATTATGGCATCTCCTTTTGTGCGTACAGTATTATATAATCTATACTTGTGTATTGTGATTTCCATTTGTTAATGACTGTGGTATATTGTATCAAACATATTTAAAGAATACATTGAAACCATTTAATGGTGAATGTAACTGAATATAAAAATATCCACTTGTTAAAACGTTTACTTCAGTTTAAATATAGTTTCAAAATCACAGTATTCAGTGAGGCCACTGAGATAAGTCTTCACTGTTATGTTAAGTGTCTAAACTCGCCTAAAATGAAATGAAATTGGAACCACACAAAGGACTGGAGTTTCTCTGTTTGTGAGAACATGGATTGTGGTATTTGTAGAAGTTTGGTTTATGGCTGTAACACTTTTTTTTTAAAAAGTAGGACACACTATTAACCTCGCACTGTAATATCATGACATCCCTTATATATGATAATAATGAAATGGAACAGGACAAAATTTTTTTAATTAAAATAAACTAACATTTACCGAATAAGCCATGGGGGTGGGGAGGGGTCATACAATGTCATTCAAATACATTAGATGGTTTGTGTAAAGGGGCAGAAACAGGAACACTTATAGAAGAGCAAGAATCACTAACTAAACGTTCGTGAATTTCGTTACAAGCCATGCAACTGTGCTTCAGCCTCATGCATAGGCCAGATTAAATGGGTTAGTGGTGACAGATAGCGACTGGACAAGTTCCGGAATTAGCTCAGTGCCAGAGGGGATGTTGTTTGCTCCGGCTTACCCTAGATTTCCCCCTCACACTTAGTCAATACAGAATCATTCTGGTCAAACAGCTGCAAGTATACAACAAAGGCACCCAAAGGAGAAAAAAAAAACATAACAGAAAAAATAGTTCAGAGATTTGAAAAAGATAATCAGAGGAATTCCACTGAAAAAAATTCATATCAATAACACAGAGGTTGAAATGCAACACATGTACAAAATCAACTGTTCACTTTTTTTAGGTAACTGCACGAACGAAGCAATGAACTACAGTAAAACAAACTGAAACAATGAAATGTAACCACTCCAAGAGAAGATGTTAAATGTAAAAGCCTGTCTGAAGGTTATCAATATAAAATAGTTTCCCAAATTCTCATTAGTATTTACAGACCTTGTGCAAGTGTCTTGAGCTATGTGATCCATTTATACTTCAAGTATCTGCTATACACCAAGGTGGTCTAATTTGCAGTATTTCTTAATAAGAAATGCGCAATTGCCGATTTTCTACCAGATCTAAATTGTTGGAAAAAGTGTCCTTCAACACATTCAATGTTTTAGATATTGTATAATAAAACAATTCTCATTAAGAAATACCATAGATTAGATCTCAAAACTTTGCAGTGTGACACCAAACTGGGAAGTCACACTGCTTCTCTGGGGGGGTATTTTTCCTAGAGCAAAATTAATGTTTAACACCAGTGATCGAGCCAGTAGTACACCTCTCACATCTCCAATAGAACTGGAACTTTAGGGCAAGCCGCAGTAGGTTTGATGTGTGAGCACCAGGAAAGGCTAGTGTTTAGTGATAACTATATCTATTATTTTTATTATATCTATATCAGTATTTAGCAAAATGTTTGAGCTGTTGCAAGGTTGCAAAGGTAGCAAACGTAATGCCGATATTTAAGAAGGGTGGGAGACCAAAAATGGGGAACTATAGACAAGTTAGTCTGACATCAGTGATAGGGAAAATTCTAGAGTCCTTACTTAGGGACATCGTCGTGGGGTACTTAGAAAATCATAATGTGATTAGTAGAGTCAACATGGCTTTATGAAAGGGAAATCATATTTAACGAATCTTATAGAATTTGAGGATGTAACTAGCAGGTTAGATAGGGGGGAACCAGTAGATGTGGTTTACTTGGATTTCCAGAAGGCATTCGACAAGGTGCCACATAAAAGTCTGTTGCATAAGATTAGAGCCCATAGAATTAAAGGCAATATATTAGCGCGGATTGGGAAGTGACTAACGGGAAGAAAACAGAGAGTAGGGATAAACTGGTCCTTCTCAGATTGGCAGGATGTGACTAGTGGAGTGCCACAAGGATCAGTGCTTGGACCTCAACTATTTACAATCTATATCAATGATTTAAATTCACGGACGATACGAGGATAGGTGGGAGAGTAAGCTGTAAGAATGACATACGAAGAATTCAACGGGAAATAGACAGGCTAGGTGAGTGGGCAAGAAGGTGGCAGATGGAGTATAAGGTGGGGAAGTGTGAAGTTATTCACCTGGGTAGTAAAAATAGGAAAGTGGATTATTTTCCAGATGGGGAGAGACTAGGTAGTGTTAGTGTTCAGAGGGATTTGGGTGTCCTTCTACACCAGTTACAAAAAATTAGTATGCAGGTACAGGAAGCAACTAGAAGCCTATAAGATTCTTAAGGGTCTCGACAGGGTAGATGCCGTGAGACTGTTTCCCCTGGTTGGAGAATCTAAAACTAGGGCTCATAATCTCAAGATTAAGGGTCAACTTTATCGAGCTGAGTTGAGGAAACATTTCTTCACTCAGAGGGTAGTGAATTTGTGGAACTCTCTACCCCAGAAGGCTGTGGATGCTCAGTCATTGAACATATTCAAGACTGAGGTTGATAAGAGCTCTAAAGGATAGAGGGATTAAGGGATATGGGGATAGGGCGGCTAAATGGAATTAGGTTAGAAGATCAGCCATGATCTTATTAAATGGCTGGGCAGGCTCGAGGGGCTGAATGTCCTACTCATGCTCCTACATCTTATGGTCAGTATAAGATGCTGCAAAGACAGCTGGGCAGTGAACGAAGAACAATGAAAACCTCAAACTGGCCACTAGCACCACAGGTTTATAACTAAAGAAGAGGGGCCAAATGGTAGGAGAGTGGAGGTCAGTGGTGGGGGGAGGAAAATGGATTGAATTAAATGAAGTCTGTTTCGTCCTATAGCTCAGTGGTTAGAGCACTTGCCTTGCAAGTGTCTCTACCTGGATTTGATTCCCAGGCAGAGCGTAATGTTGGGCAAGTTTCCTTACTCCACACACCTCGGTTTAACTAGCAGTAAGTGGGAACCCGGTTGTTAGTCGATTGATGGATCACTTTTGAGCAGGTAATAATCCCTTAAAAAAAATGTGGTGACTCAATCCATGACTGTGTGTGGGACACTGCTGTGCCGAATTGGCTGCTAGGTTTCACCCTCAAAATATAGTTAATTAACTTGACAGGATATTATGTAAAGCGCTTTGAGACGCCTCAAAGACGTGATAAGGTGCTATATGAAATGCAAGGATTATTATTATTATCTGTTTATCTCTTTTTCTAACCTAGATAATAGTAATGAATAATAATAATCCTTGCATTTATTGTTACACATTTCTTGTCAAGAGGATGCCTCAAGGTGTTTCACAGGATTTACTGTAAAGTGCAGTGACTGTGTATTTTATAGGCGAGCACCGCTAATAGTATTATGTACCACACCAATGACATAGTCTTGTCCTTTTCCACTCTGCTGGTCCCCCAACTACACCAAGGTTTTCAATTAAAAAGTTACCAATTTGACCAGGTTGATGACATCTCTGTGCTCTGCTATACTGAGGCTGATTTACTCCCAACAGAATCTATTAGGTGCTACTTAACAATGAGCGGGAGGGTTCTGGCTGGATAATAATGATAATCCTTGCATTTGATATAGAGCTTTTCGCATCTCCTAGACGTCTCAAAGCGCTTCACAGAATATACTAAGTGAATTGACTGTATATTTGTGGGCGAAACGCGGCAGCCAATTGCGCACAGCAGTGTCCCACAAACAGTCGTGGATTGAAGTGACCAATTTTATTATTTTTTTTGCCCTGGGACTTGGTTGTTCAGGGGTAATATAAATTAAGGATTAACTCTTAGTAGCCCAGATCACTGACAAAGCTCTGATAGACAACACTAAATCTTCCTCTATTGATCACTATGTGCAGATCTGGGAATGCATCAGAGCCATGGAGATGGATGGTTAAAGCATTGCTTCACACAGATGATGTAAGAAATGAGGGGTTACAGTTATAAAGACAGACTTAAACAATTGGATCCGTTTCCACTGGGACAGAGGTTATGAGAATATATTCTAGAGCTCTGCAAAATTTAGAATAATTTTGAACGATGAATAGTGAAGGATTATTCCTACTGGTTGGTGAATCAGTAATGAGGGGACATAAAATTGGGATTGCCACTGGAAAAGTTAAGGGGGGGGGAGTTAGAAGAACCTTCTTCACAAGGAGCATTATCAGGACATGGAAGCTTTGCCACGAGTAGCTATTATGGTTGAGACCACGACAACATTTAAAAGAGAAATGGATAAATCTTTGAAGGATATGGTATTGGGAATTGAGATTGGATAGCTCAAGTGGATGAACCCCATGGGGTTTAGGCTGATGGGCTGAACGGCCTCTTCCTGTGCTGCAATTTCTAAGACTCTATGAAAAAGGGGAATTAAAAAAAAATCTCACAGGTATAATAATAATCCTTGCAAAATATTGTTCTCCCACCCAGAAAGCCCAGGACTGAAAACCTATCCCATAAAAAGCACGAAAGTGAACAGCATTAAACTTACTAGCACCTTTATTTGGTGCCCTTATCAAAAGAAAATTATGAACCTGATGGGAAAGGGAACCAAACAAAGAGAACAACAATCTAAAATGTGAAAAGTTCTGCATTTAATCTTAATTTAAACTTTAAAATGGAATTCTCATGCAAGTTACACAGAAGTAAAATCAGTTGGTGACCACATTATTTACCGTAATCAGTCAAAGTTACATTTAAGCTACTCCCATTAAGACTTATCTTGTGTCAATTTACTGATATTGAAATAAAATCATTATATAAAAAAATTCAACGCAGTTGCATTTGCTCATTTTTTTGAAGCATTCTTTTCCATGTTGCTATATTTTTGTTCCGACTCTTCTGAAATAATAATAATCCTTGCATTTGATATAACGCCTCTTTGAGATGTCTCAAAGCACTTCACAGAATATACTGTAAAGTGAATTGATTGTATATTTTAATGCGGCAGCCAATTGGGGTATAAACAAAGCTGATTTCACTCTGCTCTGCTGACAAACACCAGGTAAAGAAGGTGCTTCCATTGCAACGCTTCCATTGTAGCACGCTCATTGTCTAAGTATGAATTTTAGTTCCAAATATCAGAGAGGTGCACTGGAAAGTTAAAAGTTTGCCCCCATCTTATAATAATAATCCTTGCATTTGATTTAGCGCTTTTTACGTCTTCTAGACGTCTCAACCCCTTCACATAATATACTGGCTTGCCTTCCAAATGCAAGGAATTGAATTTGCAGCAATTTCACAAGTATTTTTTGATAACTATGTTTCAACAAAGATAGCAAACAGAAAGGAATCTGCTACAAGAGTTCAGGAATTAAAGCATTTATTTGGCCAATTGGAAACCAATTCTGTCTTGTGGCAAATCTCAAGAGTACGAAGACCTTATGTTATCAATTATATACTGGGACTCATGTATGGGCTTCTAATTGGATTCTTCAATAAGGAAACTGGATGGATGTCATGCTGATTCACAGGGAGAATCACTCCAACAGGATCTACTCTCAGAGCAGAGTTCTTGTGGGTCACTGTTAGACTCAAGATTATATACATAGGGGCAATCCCACTAAAAATCATTACATGATAGAGCCCAGAAACCCTCTTCCATATTGTGGAAAATTTCCAGAAATTAAGAGTAATCATTTTGAAATGACTGTATTTATCATTAGCGAGGATCTAGTTATATTTGGTTGTGAACATGGTAAGATAGGAATCCCATTTACACCATGTGAAAACACCAACTGAACCTGCGCATGATAGATGCTAACATGAACTTATTTAAATTTGCTTTGGAATGCAGAGGAGCCCCATGATAACACGAACAAATGGGTTCCCGGGTCTCCCCGCTTACATTTCTGAGATAAAAGATACAGCACTAAAGATTCACAATCTTACAATTCCATAATGAACATTTCCAAGGGCGTTCCTCAAATGTGATCCAATACAGTGTGTTAGTATTAATCTGAGTTTGGTAAACAAGAGTAAACTTCATACCTGTAGACATGCTCTCCCCAGCTGACATGTTATCTAGCAATGTGTGGTCCAAAGGTTGGGGACTAGACCCGGAGAGGCCTGCAGTGGGAGGCTGAGGAGGAGGAAGGGTGGGCCTCTGTCTGGGCTTAGGCGCAGGCCGAGATTTAGTTAAAGTGCTTGCTTGGGATGGAGGAGAAGACAAAGATGGTGCTGGAGGAGTCTGGCCCGAGGGCAACACATAGCCTTGAGGACAGTTTGCAGCATATGGTGATGGAGTGCTGGGAGGGGTGGGAGAAAGGCTGGCAGGAGAGGGTTGTCCTGTTGCCGGGTCAAATGGGACTTTGGGTGCTACAGGGGCCAGTTTCTTTCCAGCTGTGGAGAGAAAAAGTCACTTTTAGTTTGTTGTTTTACAAATCCACGGTAAAAGCTAGTCACTCCCTCGCTGGAGAGGATGTTTTCAGACTGTAGCAATTTGGCCGTGACAGCTTGTAGTTGAATTTCCTCATTATACACCAATAAGTTCTGTAAATCTAACCACGAACAAGGAATCATGCATTGCCTCTGTCGTATAACACGGTGAAGATGCCGTCTTCAAAATATGAATTAAACCAACATGTGTTACATTTCTATGGGAAATCTTGCAGTCCAGGCAACGAGGATGCCACACTTCAACTATAACTCATCTATATTTCTTCCTGTAAGACTATCATTCCCTGGAAGATATTCTAAATTGACTCAGTGAGTAACATCGATGGCAGTGTACAGTGGTTTCATCACGTGAAGACATGTTTGCTTCATTCATATTTTGAAGTGACAGCAATTTTGCTATGTTATTAACAGATGCAATACAATTTTCCTTGATTGTGGTTAGATTTACAGACCTTATTATTGTACAATGATGAAATGATGCTTAGATGAGCATATGCAGAGATCATAGGGAAAATGAGGAATTTGGGCATTGGGATAAGTGGCTTTACTGATGCAACAAAGACTGAGTCATACGACTACTGATTCATAGATTTCTATGCTTCCCTGGTGCTTCTTTACAAAGTGTGAGGATAAAATACATGTACTTTCTCTAATTATCAACATGAGAAGCTAGAATTTGGGTATTATCCCCATGGCCAATTATTTAAGAAAGGAGGAAATGGCTGTATATAATGATAATAATAATCCTTGCATTGATATAAGGCCTTATCAAATCCTTGAGACGTTTCAAAGTGTTTCAACTATATTATAAAGTGAATTGACTGTATATTTTGTGGGCAAAACGCAGCAGACAATTGTGCACATCAGTATCCTACAAACAGTCGTGGATTGAAGTGACCAATTTATTTTTATTTGGAGAGCAACCTGCAACTGCTGAGTGAGAGCCAGGGTTTGAGCCTTTGTCCGGTTCTCTCTAAACTCTAGTTTCCGATTGTAACTAAGAACAGTGCACGACACAAACAGAAACGTTGAACACAACAGTGAGCAGGCAGCACCTTTCCGTAGCGACAGTGGGCTCTGCTCCGCTGAGGCTTGACTCGCGCCAATACTTTGCTGGATGCTGCTCGAGGACGTTACATGATCGGAAACAGGCCGCCCTTTCTGCCCGATGACAGGAGAGAGTTCCTTGCCCTTCATAGCACTGAGGAGAGACAGACAGAGAATTATTTACACATCAACTGCCTTTTACAGATGAACAATGAATCTATCATACATTATAATTAAATAGACAGCAGATAAACAGACATCCTACACACGATTTAAAATTACTTCATCTTATTAAAAGCCCTGAGGTTTTCAATAAGTTTAAATTGCTATTTTGCGATGCACTTTGTGTTGAGCTGTGAAGTCCGGATATTTACCTAGGCAGCCTGGTTCCTTTGTCTCTGGTACAGGCGACCCATGGGGGAGAGGCTGGTATAGCAGGGTTAAAGGGGGTGGCATGGGGATCGTGTTTGGTTAGAACAAGAGGGGTTTTGATGTAGACAGGTGAGACATTAGTTTCGGCTGCATGCGTGTCAGTGAGGGAGCTTGGCTTAGGGATGTTCAGGAAACACGGTTTAGGGTTAGAGTTGATGTCAAGCTGCTGCGGGGAAGGAGGCTGAGTGAGCAAGGTTGGGCTGTGCCCTGACCACCTCTGTGGTGGGGAGGCTTGGGGAACCTCAGATCGAGCCGATGGCTGAGCCTTATGGTGGAGATGGTGGTAGCAAGGGTAGGGGGGAGGCCTGTCATCCTCGGGGGATGGATAAGAGTAACAGGAATCCGACCAATTGGAGGACAACTCATCTGTGCTGTGAATGTTAAAAGAGCAATATCATTTGTTTGGGGAGGTGTAAAAAATAGGAGAGAAAAAAAAATACAGTTTAGTAACTAACACTGCACCACAGACAGACAGACAGCAGACAATTGTAAAGCATGAATGCAGCGGTAATGAGGCGGGAAACAGTACACAGCGATACCGGAGGATGGACTGAGCCGTGCGGAAGGTGAAATCCCTTGCAATGTTTAGCCATTTGCACCTCTGGCACGCGTTTGCATGCATTTCACTGCACTAATTTCAAAGTATCAGCAACACAAATAAACACAGTGGAATAAAAACACTTTTCAAATTTTACTGCCCGGCTTTTTGGGTCCCTGCCATGAGGTGGCATTTTCTAATCAATTATACTTTCAAATAAATTTGAAACACGACATGGTGTGATGACAATTATACCAGAACCAATTCATTCTGGTTCCCTTGGGTACACCTCAAAATGTCATGTTAATGTAAATGATCTCACCCTCTTGTGAGGCAAAAATGCCCCATCGACCAATATTCTGAGCCTTCCGAGGCATTGTCCTAAGTAATGTGCGCTATAAAAATGCAAGTTGTTGTCAATGTTATTCCCTGAAGCTACTGAGGATAACAATATCTTGGTCACTCCCAAATTCCTAATGGAAATTTTTCTTTTTAAAACCTCCATTATTCTCTTCTATGGCTTCTGTCTCGTGCTGGGGTTCAAGTTTATGGGGGCCCTGATATCTACCAATAAGTTATTAGCTCACGACAGATCTTTTAATCTTGTTTTATTCCTTCATTACACTTACTTCCCAAGTATGCATCTCTTCTCTTTCAAAATCCCAGTTGGTTCTCCCTCTAGTCTTCTGTGGCAACACGGTTCCACACTCACAATCCTCTGTATGAGGAAATGTTTTGTGATTTCACCTCTAACCATCTGAGTTCCAATGTTAAGATTATGTTGATTTGTTTTACTTGCCTGGAACAGAGACTCATTCACGACCGAGACTGTCAATTCCCTTCGCTGCTTTTAACACCTAAATTAGATCAGCCCATAAACCTCTCAGCTCTAAGGAATATTACTCAAGTCTACCCAGCCTCTCTTCATTGCTAAGGCACTTCATTCAATCTAGTGCATTCTTCCTGTGTGAGCATAGACAGTGTACTTCAGCAGAAGTGTGAGGGGTAACATCGATGAGACCTCATCTCCTTTCCATCCAAGGTGTAGACTTTTCACTCCCTATCCTATGGTTGCTGAGGCTTATTGGAGCTACTGCCTCAACTGTTGCTCCAACCTGAGATCAGAAATTCAGTACAGCCCGGGGTTTGAACCTGTCACCTTCTTTTCTGTATGAATATTAGAGTTTCATATTCTCCCTACTGAAAGATGTAGACAGGATACACTGGGTTCTGGTATTGTGACATTCAGGGTCCCAGAAAGCAGGACATGACCTTGGTTCTGGATTTTACAATGAGCAGCGCTGCCTAGCGAGAAAGCAGCGACGATGCAAATCATAACGAAGCAGCAAAACTGAGCATCAAATTGCCACGCAGAAAATTAGAAGGTAATTTAGTTTTATTTTTAGAAAGGATGCTTCTGTATTTTTGCAGGAAAAAACTGAAGCATTTGAAAAGTTCCATTTGACTGCTAATGAGCACTTGTGATCATTATTTTATCCTTCAATTACACAGTGTCTCTGGAGGACATTCCACATTGATGAGGTTATGGATGATCAGCTTTAACTTTGCTGCAACTGATAGAAGTGGAACCTCATTTGAAGGTCCCAATAGATCATCCAGAAATCCTGAAATTTTTTTTTTACACAAAAAATAATTAGATTCACCAGGCAATGTCTTTTTACAAACAGTCACACAATTTGGGAAAAACAGATCGAGAGTGAGGTGAGTTAATGGCTTTTAACAAACAGAAATTGAACAAAAAAAGTCACAATTATTTAATAACAGAGTTTAACAAGCGTCTTTGTATCTATTATTACAATAGAATTCCAGGCAGAATACTTAATTGTCCCCCGTTCCCCACCCCAAATTAGTTTATGTTTATGTTATGTCAGGTGCTGTATTTCGGAATAGAATACAGCAAACTAGCTCATCAGAAACAAGACTGGATACTCTAAAAGCCCATTACTCCCTTGGTATTCAACCTGGAATGTAATTGTTAAAATAGTTGCACTTTACGCATGTTTTGCTCCAAAGCCCCAATACTAATAAATGCCTCCTCTGCTGGAGACTGAATGCCAGAGTGCAGTGATCTGATCAGTGGTGCAGTAATCTTTCCCAAGGGGATAATGGACTAAATAGTGACTGCTGATGTGTGGGAGCTGGCGGAGAATATCTGCCCTTTTGTACAGATGGCATGCTATATAGCTCTGAATATCCATGTCAGAGCAGTTTTGAGCTCCAGATTTTAATGCGGATGATTCTCAGTTGTCGGTATTTACATACCTTGGGGTGCGTGTGAAACAGTCAAATGCACAACATGGTGGAGAAAATCCCACGTCCTTCCTCTAAGGCACTTTTAATTACCAAAGCCCGAGATTCCCTTGTCTAATGATCAGCAAGATCTTCACCCCATGGCTCCTAACAAGCAGTCACCATTTAGATAATGTACTGGCTTTACCTACTGCCCAAACAAATGGTAGAGTACATTATGCATTGATAATGCACATTAGGTTGAAAAGGGCAGCACATTTTCACAAGAATCTAGGAATTGATTTGTGTAAGTTTACTGGCGTGATTTGGCTCACCGTGCTCGAGGCTCAGGTTAACAGTCAAACAGTGAACACAGAGTGCGAGTAAAGCCAAGCTCCGGGCTTTGCTGACAGACACAGCAGCGACACACTCTTACCTTGCTTGTTCAGTCCCTAGCTGAGGGCCGCTGGGGGGAGGAGTGGGGGAGGGAGAAGCGGAACTGTCTACACACTGCTCAGGAATTGGCGACTGATACGATGCGGGTAGCTCGACGGGTGGAGGAGGGGGCTGTGTGGCTGGCGGGGTGGAGGAGGTTTTTCGGGCTAAGGAGGAACCTCTGCGGGCCACCCAGGAGGTGTCCATTACCCTTACACCCATGCTACAGGAACACAGAGACACCGTCAACACGTTACAGAGAGCCAGGCCGGGCTTGACAAAGATTCGAGGATACATAAAGCACATTGGTCAGAATACATTTAAATACAGCAACAAAGACAGATTCACCAGTTAGTTACCTGCACAACCTGAGAGAAGGGAATATATTCATGACGAACAAATAATGACAGCAGGACACATAAGTATGTCAGTGTTAGACTGGATTCAAAGGTCTGACTTTAAATCGCTGGACAAATGTTATTGGAGAGTTTTAGCAACTGTTTGATAAAATGTTTAAAAGTATTATGCGAAGCGCTAATGCTAAGGGAATGCTGAAGGAAAAATCTGATGTATAAACTCCACTCATTTGTACCACTTAAACCCCAGCGAGATTCAGAGTTCATATAAGCTGTAAATCTTTTCAAAAGGTTAAATTTGTAAAGTAAATGATACACAGATGGTATGTGATTCACGCCTAGAAATTTTATACAAAATATATTTGTTCAGTTTTAATGGCAAAAATGACACGACATGTGAGCGAAGCCAGCGAGGGACTACAATAACCAAGTGGCTGGGATAGAAGAGCAGGACTGTCGAGAGAACGCAGCACGGGAGCTTTTTCGAGGCCGGTGGGAGTTCGGAGAGTGAAGTCCGACACGGGAGACAGGGCGTATCGGATGGGCTAGACATGGAATCGCAATTTTCAAATCTCCCGCCTAAACCAACAGCAGAATTACTAGGGGAAGGAGGTGCTTAGTAATCAAAGAACAAAAGCTGCTAAATTACTTATTTATACTTGATTATCTAACCGTACAATAGATTAACGGTCTAACAAATTAAGAGACAATATAAATTTTAAAGGGGGTGCAGAAACAGTGAGACCTGGGGGTTCACATACACAAATCTTTGAAGGTGTCAGGACAAGTTGACCAAGCTGTTAAGCATATGGATACTTGGCTTTATAAATAGAGACATAGAGTATAAGAGCAAGAAAGTTATGCTGAACTTTTACAAATCGCTGATTAGGCTTCACCTTGAGTATTGTGTCCAATTCTGGGCACCGCACTTTAGGAAGGATGTCAGGGCCTTGGAGAGAGTACAAAGGGGATTTACCAAGATGAAACTAGGGATGAGGGTCTACAATTATGTGGAGAGACTAGAGAGACTAGGATTATTCTCCTTAGAGTAGAGGGGAGATTTAATAGAGGTGTTCTGTGGGGTTTTGATAGAGTAAATAGGTCGGTAACAGAAGGACTCCATTAGCAAGCACTATACACACCTCCCCCCCAACTGAGACTCTCCAGTACCCAGTGTCACAAATGACCACCCCTTTCCCATACAAAACAGCAGGCATAAGCAATACAAATATAAAATAGCATATGAATGATTTTAATGCATAGCCTTTATTCTACGTGCATTTTGAAAGAGAACATCTCACCCACAAGAAATACAGGAGAAATAATAATCCCGGCTGCTCAATTGTTACCTCCAGAAGCTGCCCCCTAACCATCTGATCTGCTGAGTGTTCCTAGCGACTTCTGTTTGTATTTCAGATTTCTAGAATCTGCTGTATTTTGCCTTTTTCCCCCCTGATTTACATTTTCCTTGCTGTGTGTTTTGATGTAACTTAGTGTACTGTATATTGCTCACAGTGTGAGAACCCCAGAATGAAGACTGTAAGCTGCAGGATCAGGACCTTCTCACCCCAGAGTGGAGCTAATGTGTTCCGTTCTCTGAGCCTGACTGAGGGAGAGGGGTGGATGCGGGGGAGAGAGAAAAGGTGAAGTTTTTACACCGTCCAGCGCCTTGGGACGTCCTCTCGACGTGAAAGGCGCTATACAAATGTAATCTTGTTGTTGTAAAGCCTGACACCTACCCATTCTCCTCCCATACCACTGTCCAGGGTCCTAAACACTGCTTCCAGGTGAGACAGTGATTTACATGCACTTCCACCAATGTAGTATACTGTATTTGCTGCTTACAATGAGATCTCTCCTCTACACTGGGAGACCAAAGGCAGATTAGAAATGTTATCAGGAAAAGTCTGATACAGCCATGTTTGACAGCAGCGAAAGAACTGCAATATGGGTTTAAAGCGTCTGCTTTACTGTATACAGTAGCCTTCCAAACCTTTAAAGTCTCCTCTGTGTGATCTGAAATGTGCAATCCCAGTACTCAAAATGTCACATTTATGTACGTGCTACTTACCCTCTTCTGTTCACCATTAAATAAACTCTACCTGCTGTGGATACATATTAGAATTTCCTTTAATGTAACCCCTTTATACTATGTAACTTCCCCCTCCCCCAACCCACACACAGCTCCTTGTTTTCTTAAGTGCAGGCTGATCATTCCGACAGGTCTGGAGAATTGAGTCACTGTTTCACTCTCGTTTTCTCTCCACCCTCTGACTCCCGACTCACTGCGGGGAGCTCGGAACAGTTCCATTCGCACCGAGGGCAGACAATGAGTCAACTTTCAAACTTAGCTACCCCTCCTCCCCAACCCTCGCCCCCACGCTCCCTTAGGGCAGTCACTGAATCATGCACCAATTTGTAACTCACATAGCTCTTTGCTCCCGAGCCTCTGAGTCGCAGATGCTGGAGAACAACACAGAGAATTGACACTGATTGCACTCTCAGAACGTGTGAGGGTACCTCAGCTGCGCTTGGTTGGATGTCTGTACATTATACATCACACCCCCCCCCCCATCCCACCAAATTCGGAGGCTGTTCCAGATCTTTGCTGTTTGCTCTCACCAGTGCCTCTCTGCCTCTTTCCTTCTTGCTCATTCCAACTTCATGATCTTTGTGCTGAGCTGCACATTCCCAACGTTCTTGCCTTGCCTCATCTTAGCTGCAATCTGCTCCAGCCCACCCTATCTCATATTGGAGCCCAGTTAGTGCCTGTGCCCTCGCCGTTTTCCTTGCAGGGAATCTCCCAATGATTTCCCAGTGCCTGACACTGGTAGTTATGCAGCCGAGAGACCTGAGCAATGGCTAGGAAACATCTCCCACGCTTCCGTCCTGACACAATGACCCCCTCCCCTCTGTGAATAACCCTGGAGAGCTAGTCAAAATCCATGTTCCAATACTCAATTTAAACAAACACATTTGAAAGCGAAGGCTGGAACTACCTGAAAGCAAAGATAGGTAAGAAAATGGTTGATTTGCATATTTAGACAGTAAAGTGCAATTCACAACTGGTTTCCACTTTTCCCTTTATCAAGTGTTTCATATATGGCATGATCCAGCCACACAATCTGGCTGCTATCAGCCAGTCAATCAGACCTATTGAGTACAGTACCTTTGGATTTTCCTAAGGCTGCGTTTGCAGAAACAAAACACAAGAAATACAATTTAGATCACAGCAGAAAGTAGTCACGGAGCAGTCATTGTAAAGAAAGTAGTTCCCCATTAAATAAACAATGCATTTGGCAACAGTACTATTCATTTATCTAAAGCAGAATTCACACTGAAGAGCCTGTAACACGTTAAGCTGAATAGCTAATCTCCTGAATGCAGAAACATGATTTGGAAAAGAGGAGAATGTTGGCATTTTATTTTAAACTGATAATTTATGGAGGGTTTTTTTGTTGAAAAAATTGGCAATTGTGGAAGTGACAAAGTGAGCTGGTGCCCGTAAAGCCTGTCATGTCCCCTACGGTTGCCCACAGATGGGCACCTATCGATGCCATGTTTCCAGACACTGTGGTTTGGGGCGTGGGAGGTAAAGGGTTGAGTTAGATAGTGAGACACAGAGAGAGAGAGAGAGATAGAGAGAGTGTCTCACTGGCAGGAGCTCCAAAAAAAATCAGTCTGGAAGCAGCTCGTGTCTAGCACAAGAGGGGTGAGTCTTGAAAATGCACAAAGGAAATAAAAAAAACATAAACTTACAAATCCATATCAACATCCTCGATTTTTCTGGGAGGCAAAAAAAAAAGGATTTGGAAAAGCTGTTCATGGCTGAATGAAAATTTGTGAATTAAGCATGAGCCAGTCTGCCCCTGACCCTAATCAGTCAGCGTGACTGAATCTCAGAGGGCCTATAAGTTGCTGTTTAGCAGTGTAAGGATTTATGCAAGGAGATGGCAATTCACTGCCAGGGTAAAATCTGGTACCAGGCACAGTGTGTATTCTGGAGCACAGTTTCAAAAAACGTTTAACTGGAATGAAAAGATTTACAAAATACAAAACTTATTTTTTACGGTGTTAATCTTTAACGTGCTGTATTGTGCTTGGAAAGTCAAAAAGGTGCTTACCGCAGTAGCCATGTGGGGCAAGACGCAGAGCGTGACCGCATGTAATTTGGGCTGTAAACATGGTAAAATGGGTAGTCTGGGCAAAAAGTACTCATTTGATATGAATTTACAGCTAAAAATATTCAGTTAACAGGAATGGAAACCAATTGGACACCAAGAATGCGCAGCAAAACAGGTACAGGAATGAAGCGTGAGCAAAGGAGAAATGAAGGAGAGGCCAGTGTGAGAAGGGTGAGCATTCCACATCACAACACAAGCGGCAGAGAGCAGCTTACTGTACAATAAACTTCACAAAGTCAGGGTGGTGAGAATTCAAAGAGGTGAAGCAAATACTCCAAACAGCACAGGGGAGAAAGGAAATAAAGAGGAATAAACACCAGCACACGACAGCGTATCGTGTGGTCCCGGAACAAACTGAGTACTGCTTCGGCCGGCTAGAGGATCCCAATTTCATGCTTTGAATAATATTTAACATTGACAGTAAATATCGATAAGCTAACCTCAAGGGAACCAAACTGGGCAGTTTTGCTACGAAGCAGAATATTTTGTGTGTAGTAACTCCCAGGACAGGCCTATAACCTCATTTTACACTAATGTGGTTCACTGCAAGGTTCACTCTGCCTCACAACTAATGCAGTCAATATACATTTTACCCCCGTAAAACACATCTTCTGCATTAACAATTTGCAGAAATCTTGGCAGAATTGTGCTCCTGTTCTTCTAATGGCCAGAATAGATATGTGGAGGTCAAAGGAGAATTAGCGTTCGGGACACAGTGTAAAGAGTCAGCCTCGAGGGTCGCACTGTGCAGAAGCAACACAAAGTGGAGAAGGCAGATTCATCCAATATATAAACAATGGGGCACACTTGCAGACATAATTCATCCCCAGCACACTGACCCATCATCAGGGCCAATAGAAAATCGCAGAAACGTTTGTCCAAAATGCTGGGAAATTTGACGAATTTTACAGAGAAAATGCGGAGGTTGGTTGTTGCTGCTGAGGGGTACATTTTTTCGTTTTGATAAAAGCTAAACTTGAAAAAATAACAGATATTACGATTGTTGCAAAACAAAAGTATTTATGTTTTCTTTCACAAAAATTGGGTGGCCCTCTCAGGTGTGGGGGTGGGGGTTGGGGGGGTGGAATTAGCCTTGGCTGAAAAACTCCAGGAGGTCACCACTTCCTGCCTCTCGGGGCCTGCCACCATACCCAGACACACACTCACAAACACAGACTCACACACACACTCACAGTGACAGACACTCAGAGAGAGACACACACACTCAAACATAGAGTGAGAGACACACACACACACACACACACACACACACAGAAAGACAGACACAGAAACTCAGACACACACCATAGACACATAGAGACAGACACGCTCAGACACAGAGAGAAGAGTAACACAGACAATCTCACCAGCAGGACCTCTGGGTGAGAGAAGCCCATTTACCGCTCGCGTTGCACCTCGCATGCCTGCCTGAGCCGCTCTGCCCAGAGCAGCGGCGTCGAGCAAAAAGCCTGAGGCAGTGCGAGAGGCTGGGGCCGAGCACACTGTGTTTGAAGTGGAATCAATTGAAACCAACAGGCCAACAACTAACTTTTATTGAAATTCTAGATGGTAAAGAAAGAATCAACTTGCACTTTTATATTGCCTCGTAGCGGAGGGGGGCTGTTTGTCTCGGATTCCGCAGAAAAATTGCGGACACATTTTTCTATTGGCCCAGCCCATCACTCACATTACCATACTCACTCACATCCACCTCTCTGCATACTCACAAAGACACTAGTACACCAGCCTTCATATTTACACACACTCACGCTTCCACACTCACTCACCCTCTCCATGCTCAGACACACACACACACACACATTGATAATCTTCAGACACATAATAATCCTTGCATATGATATATAGCGTCTTATCACATTTTCAAGACTCTCAAAGCGCTTCACAGAATACACTGTAAAGTCTGGGCGAAATGTGGCAGTCAATTGCGCTCAGCAGTGTTCACAAACAGCTGTGGATTGAGTGACCAAATTACTATTTTTAAAAAACTGATGTGATTATTACCCCTGGAAAAACGATCCACCAATCGACTAACAACCAGGTTCCTACTTATTGCTAGGTTATCAGAGGAGTATGGAATAAGGAAACTCACTTGACAGTTTGCCCTAGCCCAGGAATCGAACCCAGGTTCTCTAGCGTGTGAGATGAGTGCTCTAACCGCTAAGTTACAGAACTCTACATACAATTATTGAACACAATTTATATTTCTATCATGCTTTTCACATTCAGAAGATGTCTCTAAGCGCTTGATTTGTATACTCACAGCTGAATACATTCACAGATCCACTCAAACATTCACACTCAAATATTCACATACTCACATGTGCATCCACAAACAAACAAACACAGGTTATCGACAGCTGATGTAAGATAGGCAGGATCAGGGCCAGTAATGGAGGCTTGTGCACTATTAGCACGGGCTGGTGTGCAGCCACATTGCACATTGCGGACGGGAATAGCAGCAGCTAATTCAAGCAGTTACCAAACTAAAGAGGGTTATTTGTGCCATGAGCTACATTAAAAACAAAGATTAAAAAAAATCTGGATTCAGTTCTATTCCTCAAATCTGAATTTGTTTTCCACCAAACATCTAAAATAAAAAGCCCTCTATGATCTAAACATCTCTAATCACTGAGACATACTTTGTTTCTGAGTCTATTGAAGCTCTGCTTCTTATTCGTTCCCCACTTTAGTAATTGCCTTGTACATCGTTTCACTCCAGTTCTTGCAGAAACTATAAAACAATCTAATTTGTCGATTCGCAGCTGCTGGAGGAATGAGATGAGACAAGCGGAAGTTGCGGTACACACCCATCCTTCTTGTAAAACTCCAGCATCATGTTGTCCGTGGCGACACTGAGGGGCCTTCGGGCCTGGTCGTGCTGCTTCCTTTCAGAGTGATCCATGTCCGGGGAAGGCATGGAGTTGTAGTTGGCGTTGTGGTTGGTGTGCACTGGGCTCCCATAACATCCAGTCACGTTAAATTCAATATCTGCTTCACAAGAAACATGGCTCACAGAACGTTCAATGTACAATGTACTTTCAATTCCTTTTGAAAGTTATTATTTAATCTGCTTCCACCACCCTTTCAGGCTGTGCTTTCCACACCGTAACAACTCACTGCGTAAAAAGTGAGACATTGGAAAATCAAAGATATTAATGGGCTGTGCTGCTTTTTAAAAAAAAATCTTTCCTTTTTACTGTGTGTATTCTGCACTGATCGGGTGCTGAGGAAAGAAAGCCTAGATCTTGTGAACATCATTTACCAGATCAATTGCTGTCCACCTGCATTCAGACTAAACCTCTTCCCACTTGGCCCTAATAATACTTTAAACTCAGCTCTCCATTCTCCCAGGAGCATTGTATAGAGATCACCCTCAATTGATCAGTGCGAATGTTCCATTTCCACTCATCACCATGCCATCGAACGGGTCCATTCATATTCACAGCACACTGACTCTAACTATCACTCGGGTTGAGAATGTGCTCCAAATCATTTTATAGGGGATCCTTATAGCCAGCAAGGAGAGTTGATGCCCCTCCATCCTCTCAGCATGGGCTGGCTCTAAACCCAGGACTCAGAGGTGAGAGACTGGGCTGGCCAGGAGCCTGAATTATTACTTTGGAGGAAAGTAAAGAGTTAGAAAATGTGGACCCTGGCTCCCTATCGCTCACAGAAAATTTGTAGTTAAAATCTGCATACAAGAAGTCAGTGGGGAGGAAGTGTGCAGATCAACCATGAGGAATACACTTAAACACACTTACCTCCTGGGAAGAACCAATCGGCATTCTGAATTATGGGTTCAATGATTCCCACAATCTGTATGGAGACCGTTGTCATCATTTCAGTCATAGACCTACACGAGGAAAAGAACAAATTGCAGCATCTGAATGATCTGCACAACACTGAATTTTAGAAATGAAAACACAAGAGAAAGCAATTCGGGCCACAAAACCTAAGACAGTGCCAGAAAATCCACTGACATCAGAGTCCAACTGCCACCCACCCCCACATCAATCAGTGTGGGGGAGGGGAGTAAACATCACAAGTCATGGGGGAAGGGGAGCAGACTTTACATAGTGTGATGGGGAGGGGAGCAGGGCTAAAGAGAAGAAACACAGTAAAATACAATCTAAATTCTATATCTGATCCAGTCACTGCTGATGCCCACAGAGTGTGCTTGAGTATGTGACCAGAGTGAGTGAGTGGGACAATTTTCTTTGGGCTACATACCAGTGACTGTAACACAACAACAAGATTACATTTGTATAGCGCCTTTCACGACGAGAGGACATCCGAAGGCGCTGGACAGAGATAGCATTTCAGACCCGAGCTGGGGTCGGGAGGTGAGGGGGGGTGGTGATGGCATGGTCGAAGAAGAGGGTCTTGAGGCGGGACTTGAAGGAGGCTAAGGAGGGGGTGAGTGGAGTGACTGGGGGATGGAATTGCAGAGGTTGGGGGCAGAGTGGCTGAAGGCTCTCCCGCCAATGATGGGGCGGGTGGGTCGGGGGATGTGGAGCAGGCCAGAGCCAGCTGAGCGGAAGGAACGGGCGGGTTGGTGGGGGGGTTAGGTCGCAGAGGTAGGGTGGGGTGAGGCCATGGAGGGCTTTGTATGTGAAGACCAGGATTTTGAACTGGATCCTCTGAAGGATAGGGAGCCAGTGGAGTCGGGCGAGAGTGGAGGAGATGGGATAACGGAGTTTGGTGTGGGAGAGGACACGGGCTTCAGAGTTCTGGATTGTCTGCAGCCTGTGGAGGGAGGAGGTGGGAAGGCTGATAAGCAGGGCGTTTGTATAGTTGAGCCTGGAGGTGCTGAAGGCATGAACAAGAGTTTCAGCGGCCTGAGGGGTGAGGTAGTGGTGGAGTTGGGCGATGTTATGGAGGTGAGGGAAGGCAGAGCGGGTCATGACTTGAATGTGGGGGATAAAAGACAGTTGAGGGTCGAATAAGACACCCAGGTTCCTGACTGGCTTGGTGACTTGTAGTGTGCAACCATGGAGGTTGATGTTGCCAGAGCCTGAGGTGCTGAGGCGCTGGCGCGAGCTAATCAGGAGGGCCTCAGTCTTGTTCACATTCAGCTGTAGGAAATTTGCTCATAGGTACCCATAACTTGAGACTGTATCCCCAGCTGGGATCAGTGAGTGTGTCTGTTGCACAGAGCAGTGACTGTAGTATAAGGTAGTAGCTGTAAGTTTATAAAACGGTATGCCCAGATTAATTTCTAGGTTTAATTAGAAGCAGCAAGTTGGCTTTGTGGGCAGCACATCTTACCCCTCAGTTGCACTCCAGAGGAGGTTGGGTCCCAGCACTATTGCCATGTTGCCCGGCGTCATCTTGTTTGCATCTTGATATTCCGTGAGCTTGGCTAAAAATTTTATCAGGTATCTGTAGAAGAATGGCAATTCAAAGAGGGATTATTTCAAATTAATTTTGTAACTGTTACCCTTACTGCCCCTCAATTGTCCTTTCAATTAGTGTGAGAGGGAAAGGCCAGCATTATCCTGGATATTGCACTTGGTCCTATTTTTCCATCGATACAGTAGAGATTCGAGAACAGGAGGGGATGAAGTTTAAGATCAATTTATGACTCTGTGGGATGTTGCTGTGCGTAAATTGTCTGCTGACAAATGCACAATCATTACACTTGTCAGCAATTAGCTGTGAAGTGCTTTGATATTACAGGCTCTACATCAATTGCAAAGATTATTACTACCACAATGTGAAGTAGTAACAAGGAGGTGGATAACTAGTGCGGTACTAGCGCCAGGACTCCTGGCTCCCCCACCCTGGCCCAGATATGACATTACATCAGGCAGACAGTCAATATATCTAATCACCTACTCCGATAGGTTTTCCTTCAATAGCACCAGTTTTGGAAATCGCAATTCCCTCCCCACATTCAATTACCTATTTCACGGCTAAGTAGAAAAAGCATTGAAATAAATTGTAATAATTACATACAATACAGGCTTGGAGCTCGCCTGACTAACCTGAAATTGTTGTAATTTGCCATGGGCAGCTTCTCACATGCGTTCCATAGAGCCTGTAACCTCTTGTCAGGGTCCTGGATGCTGGTCATTTAAAACAGAAAGAGAAACAGAGCGACTTGCACACCCCATCGGTATAGCACCACTTCCCAAAATGTGCCTGTACTTTAGCTGGGAGGGGTTTGGAGTTAATAAAAATGCACTGACTGGAAATCAACCGATAAATTACTTGCTCATCTCATCATTTTGTTGATGTGAGTGTGCTGTTGTGAAAGTGTGTGTGTGTGTTTGTGAGAATGCTTATGTGCATAAATATCCATTTCTGTCCTGTGTCCATTAAGTTTCCCTGGGACAATTGACTCCAACAGGGAATTTCAGGTGTCAAGCTGGATCCTCTTACCCCTAGCAGTGTCACTTGCTGCCACATAAACTTACTGCCATCAGTAAGAAGACAACTAATACTCAGCAATACTATCCGAAGTAACAATGATTACCCCCAAGTAAAAATCACTGCTCTGCGTAAGAATATAACTACTCTACTACAATCAGTATTAATACAATTCCTATCCCCATTAACGAGGCAAATACTACAATTGCTACAAAAGCATTGTCCTAATCACCATACTGACACTGAGTGGCCTTGAAATGCTTATGGAAGGAAAGAGCTTGTTAATAAATACTTACTTTGATGCTTGTATCCACTCCTCATACAATTCAAAAGTCATCAAAGGCTCTGGCAGCTCTCGGAGATACGACTTAAGAGCTCCTAATGAAATGAAGACAAACTTCCATTTAACTAATGCAGCAAGGATTTAGCGTGGATATGGCAACAGGTGGAAGGGAGTGGATTGCTGCAGTAACTGGATAGCACTGCAGAACACCCGCAAAGACTATCTGCCAATGACAGAACGTGTAAAGACATCCCCAGTGCAGCACGGCACACAGACAGCATGGTTCCAGGATTGTTCGCTCGCTGGTTTGTGCTGAGTTAACTGATTGCAGCTGTTTCCCTCCCTCCCCTCTTTCAAGGTACGCCTCAAAACTTAAGCCTACAATTGGCCTAAGTATAGCTGGGTTAAAGAGGGGAATAGAATCAGTCAGGGTTCCAGCTCTTGATTTCATGGAGGAAGGAAGGGAGAAAATTAGCAACTAGAAACCTTGCTTTAAATGTTAAAAATCAATTTCCTGAATAACACAGTACGTACAAGGCACAGAGGTAAACAACAGAAACAGCAATAGTCAAACCATCCTCCCTATAAATATAAACGGATAAAATGTTTTCAAATATAATGTTATGCACCGGCCAGGGGTACTTCAAAGGAATTTGATTGAAATTCAGCCTTATTTCATCAAATTAATTTCCAAGGAAATCAACAACAACAATAAACTTGCAAGAAACATTCATTAAATAAAACCTAACTGCTTAAACTGAGGAGCAGTCTGAATATCGCACAGTTTTTGACGCCTGTTCAACATGACATCGGAAACAGAATCAAAACAAGTTTTAAAAGTTAATAATTTATCCACAAATATTTTGAGCTGTATAAGTGACACCAGCTATATAATTGTTTAGTGTAGTGAGTCAGGGTTTCACTTTACCTCCCACAATAATAATTAGGATCGAAAACACAGTGAGTAATGTCAGATATGTGCTGTTAAACACGTGGCTAAAGTTTCCTTGGCTCCAGGTGTCAGTCAGTGAATGGGTTTGCTGGGTCTCTGAGCTGTGACTCAGGTTAATCACAATATATATTTCATATATTTTGCTATTGCATTAAAATTCCTTTTAAGTACTCTGTGAGCCGATCACCCCACATCCTTGCTCATCTCCACTGGCTTCCCATCTACCAGAGGACCAAGTTCAATATTCTTGTTCTCACATTTAAATTCCTCTGTGGTCTCACCCACCCTTACCCTCTTTCACTCAAACCAACTTGGCTATTCCATTTGCTCGGCTGACACTGGCCTACTCCACACAACAGGTGGGCTGTCAGCTACTTGGCTCCCGCATTCTGGAACTCCATTCCCAGGTTCCTCCAATTTGTTCCCTTCCTCCCCTCTTTCAAGGTACGCCTCAAAACTTATCTCTTTGACTGCACCTATGGTCAACTTTCACCTCCTCCCCATCAGCTCCTCCTGACGTGAAAGGCGCTCTATAAATGCAATCTTGTTGTTGTTGTCAGCCAGAAAATGGCAAGCTCTTTGTGATATTCTCCGGATGTGAAAGGCTCTGAGACGCTACCCTGTGTGGAGGGCGCTACATAAGTGCAAGTTGTTGTTGTCGGACTTGTGCTCTGGTACATACCTGCTACAGCATGCGGGTCTACTGAATACTCTTGCACATCCAGCACGCCACAGTCAAGAGAGGCCTTCAGCTTCTTCAGCTTGGAAGCTGAGGCTGCCACCCTGAACAGGCCCTACAGAGTAGACGCTAGTCAGTGTCGATCACACAGCATCACACAGTTCAGTCAATCACAGGCTTTCCAGCAATCTCAATCCCCCCAAGCAGATACTTGGTTCTCAGCAATGGTACAATGCATTATTCTAGCCACACAGTGACTGTGAGAGGCAACACTCTCCCAAAAAGTTTTGCAGCAGCTGGGGGAACGAACAACTAATTAACCTGTGTTGCCTGAACAGAGAAGGCTTTAGCAATAAGGTTACCGTGTTATTGTGGGGAAGAAGATTTTTATAATGAGGATAATTTGGTGATTAAGTAGTAAGATATGGAGGAAATTGATCAGTGATTTCACAGCCTGACAGAACAACTGTCATCACTTTATCCTGGTTAATGTTTTGCAAAGTCCCCACGCTGCTATGTTATTACCATAATTAATTTTATACAGACACTGAGTTTGACCATCCTAATTATCTGCAAAGGTTCAAGTTGATAAATTCTATTTTCCCCCACCATAGATGCCATTCCCCCTAGATAGAGGAAGCTATTGCTACCAGTGATGAACATCTTTCCCTGTCCAAAGCCTCCCCCATCCCCCACTGCCACAGTGAGGTTGCTTTGCTAAGAGCTCTGATAGTTGCTAGACATTCTCTGAGGTAACCCGACCAATGAAGGAAATATGTTACCTCTTCCTGCATCCCGCACTCTAGTAGCATTGTCACACAGGCCTCCACCGGGAAAGCAATGTCCCGTCCGCTCACTGTCAGATGCTCCTCCAGTGATTTACCAAACGAGGGCTTCTCTATCCAGGCCTCTTCAGCAGGAGATAAAAGCAGCTATGTTTTATAATGATTACCCTTAATAATCGTAAATAATCCTTGCATTTGATATTGTGGCCATATTGCCGATAATGTGCCAAAGCACTTTAAAGTTTCCTTAAAGCATCGTGTCTGTGTAATTTGGAAGTGGACAAGGCAGCCAATTTGTGCGCAGCAATGTCCCACAAACAGCCATGAAGTGAGTGATCGAGTTTATCAGTGGGATTGTTGGTCAGGATACGGAGAGAAACTCTTCTCTTTTAAAACAATGTCATGGGACTGAACAAAAAGGTGGTTTAACGTTTCATCCAAAGAACAATGCAGTGCTCCCCAAGTACTGCACTGGAGTGTCAATTAGAGTCTGTGAGACCAAATAGACAGAGACGAGATAGATGTTATGGAACAGCTGCAAACATTAGGGTTTGGAATTGTTTGACTGCGTATAAAGTAATCATGTCTGTGCGACCACTAGCTGTTTTTCTAATCACCTTTATTTTATTTTTAAAAACATGCCCACCCCACCCACCTCCCTCCCGCTTCCGTACAGAAACGTTCCACATTTCTAAATCAGGAGCAGGTCTTACCTTGCTGGGCTTTGATTTGTGGCAGTATGCTCTGTAACAGTAACAGGGACTTTCTGTGGTATTCCGCTTGTACTTCTATTAACTGGGAAAACACGATTTACAATCAGATTAGGTGCCAAAGAAAAAGTTATTGAAACTTCCATCCGTAACTTGCATTAGGTGTCTGTTCATTAGACTCGCTGTTATTTGACAACCCAAAGTCTGATACACTGAAACAAATGCTGGCCCTGACCCACCAGCATATGCTGAAGTGGAGAAGACTTGTTTGAAATCTGAAGACTTGATGAAGAAGGGTGTGGACCAGGGAATGGCTGAGATTGCAGAGGTTGGCAAACATCATTCCCCATAATGGTGGAGGCAGTGTTACACTGTGGGGAGGAATTGTTACATTATGGCTGGTTCCCCAGTTGACTACAGGTTTTCCCATCAGCAGTGGATGAACAGCAGCAAGTGGTGAATAATGGTGCTTGGATCATGAATTTTATGCAATGGGAGAAACAGGTAACAGGTTTTCTGAGTTAAGATTCTGTGGTGGGCCAGGCAACTGTGCTATCAGCAGCCACTGATAGACTCAGATCTGATGATGGTTTTGTTGCAACATTAAGAAGCGATAGGAAGGAGATTAATACGTCACTGTTACACTGAATTCTGGTCAATTTGCCAGACGTACTCTGTGATATCAGGCGATTGAGTTGTGGGTGGGGGAGGAGGCTTTCAGTTTGGAAAAGTCAGATGAAAGGTGATCAACCACTGGTACTGATTTTACCTGCATCAGTATTTGGGGAAGACTTAATGGCAGCCATGAACGAAACCATGAATGGTTTCAAGTGTCATTCAGTCAAAGAACCCAAGAGGATCAAATTGGGAGATAAGACTCCTGAGGAGGAAAGAAGGACGAGTTGGTGGGAGCGCAGCCGAGGCCAGAGCGTGGGGAGGAGGGAAGGTGTGGAAGTGTGTCCGTCAGTGGTGTGACTCTGCGGCACTACTGAGATCCCATGGGAGTCACAGATATTCTCTCTGCCCCTGAAACAGGCTCAGCCCAAGTCAACACTAACATGATTCCTCATCAGCTAATTGTCAGCACTTTTTACTGCAGTGACAGTTACATGTAGACGAGGCAGAGCCCATCAATTTTTTTAAAAGCGAAAAAGATGCTTGAACAAGAATCTTATTCAAGGCTATGGAGTACGAGCAGGGATTAGATTATGTGGTTCGTGTGGAGAAAAACACCGGCATAGACTTAATGATCTGAATGGCCTGATTCAGTGTTGTAACATTCTAGGATTGCATGGGGAGTATTTGGTACATTTGCCAACGCTGGTGTCTGCTCAACAACTGCACGTGCTATTACTGAGAAGCTTTGAGCAGTTTACAGGAATCATCTGAACCCTAGATTGAGTTTTTTTATATAACAATATATATTGTGTAAATCCACTGAGTGGTTAGCGGGTTTTGGGTCCAGGTAGTGCAGTGGGGATGGGAGCTTCATGCTGTAACAGTCACAGTGAGGGGTGTACACAACAGGGAATGATGCAATCAGTATGTAATGGAACAAAATTATAGGGCACTAATTGAAACCTATGAAGTGTTGGTGAACGTACTGGATTGCTTATGAGCTGGATCCTAGTCTAACTCTAATTTTAAGTGAGTAACTTGTTAATCTGCTTCTTTGTGGAGGAGTTGGTAGGGTGAAGGCACCAGGAACCTAGCAGATTTATTTTGCTATTGACAGTGGGGAGCTATCGGGGTATATTGCACATCACAGGTGGCAGAGTTCAACAGAACTGTACTTAATAAGCGACAACGATCTATTCTGCAACTGATGCTGAAGGATTGCCTTGCAGACACAGACAGGGTTTTACACAAGGAAGACACCCACAATAAGAGGCACAAATTATGTACTTAGCAGGCATTGAGGGAGGTGAAGGCAGTGTGATTTGACTGCCTGAAATGATGATCGGGTTGAAGTATGTGATCAGTGCCATCTGAAAGTAAAATGTTCTGTTGTGAGAATTTAATTTAACAGGAGAATTTAAGCAAACAGGAGAACAACTTAAACATATAAATAATGAGGTTGATGAGTTCAGATCAGAGGAACTGGAAATAAAACATAACGTTTGCACCCCTGCTATCGGGAGTCTGATTTTTGTAAGAATCCTTATATTCAATAGTACTCACTGTCTGAAAATAATTTGCATAGTCTATTTCTTTGGCCACAAAACTGTACATATCCGCTGCCAGCTGATCCTGTAGTTGACAGAAAAATGGAAATGTGTTAGTGAGTTACACAACGCCAAGTTTAAATTCAATTTGGTTTTGTCTTTGCCATGAAACAAATTATTTCTCATAAACCATGGTGTTTTCTCACCAACTTCGTCACCTCCTATTTAATCTTGTTTGGGAAGCTACCGAGGGCTGATTTGGAATGTGTTTTAAATATAGAAGCAGGACCTGAAAGAGTGCATTTAACTTGCTCCTGGAAGTTGCTGAGTTTCAGAAAGAATGTCACCAGTGATCGGAAAGTAACACCTTGCTGTTTTCTGACATCACAGGACAGTGAGTTGTGGGGTCTGCTGTTACAGTGAGACTACTGCCCTCACAGCTAGCTACTGAACCAATGCAGTGTGAACAGCCTGTGTCTCCTGAGTGACTCCAGCTGAAAAACATAGACAATTCAGAACCACTTCCCCAGCAAAGGTCACTTTCCCTCAGTTGATAAACTAAGTGCCTGTGAGCAAGTAACCTTAGCTCTCTGTCTGGCTTCATTACCATAAGATCCTCCAATTTAATACTTCAAAAGCCCCAATTTAGCCGGCCTCTCATCATACGTCTCGGATCTGGTGCCATCCAAGTGAATTTGTGCTGCAGCCTGCCCATCTCTAACATCCTTCAAGTGTCTGAGACTCAGCAACTTTTAAACTCGTACCTTTTGGGAGACAGACATTGGCGATTAGTGGGCACGAGACTGGGAGCTGAGATTGGCAGTGTCAGACTTCTCCCTCAATAGCCTTGGCATTCGCTTGTTATGGAAGTACTTAAGAAATCATTTGAACGTCCCCATTTAGTATTTGGTGTATAAAGGATGCTCCGACAAGGTGAAGTTTAACATCAACAAAAACAGCTCATCAAACCTTCTCTTAACTTTGCAAATGCTGTATTATACTTGGGATTTGTATTAAATTGCTACTACCTATCATTTAGTGATAAGAGAGATTTGTTTGTTTATGTGTTATTTCAAACCAGTGAAGCTATCTCACGATAGGTTGACTAAAGGTGGCAAACAGACACAACACAGGAAGCAGACCTAGGAACAACACAGGACACAGCAACACATCTAATCTCTTCATGGTCATCACTTCACACAGTATTTTTGTCAGCTCTGGATTCAACTGTGAGAGTAATCTGTGTTGACCGTGCATGTGAGAGCACAAGGTTTGCTACGCACTCCATTCCCTCTGGGGAGTGAATGCAAATTACCTAGAACGCTATCTCTAGTTGTATGCCCATGAGTTGACCCTAAACAAAGGCACCTCTCTGTTTGGAGCGGACACTCATGGGTATGTAACATGCAACGCCTCTATGAAGAGGGTTAACACTGAGTTTGCTAAAAGGTGATCTGACCGTGTGCTCTGTGACTGCAGTTTAATACGATTCTGCTTTGCGTTCAGTGTTTTGAGCATTGGCCCAACACCATCAACACCTACTTAGAGGGAAGTAGGTGTTTTAATACTGATCGCAGCACTTTATAAGGATGCAAGGACAAGCTATTTTTCCTGCCACTTTGATATCAATTCCAGTGATGTTTTTCAGAAAGACGGTGTCAGGCTTTCAGAAAGCTGCTTGGTGAAATATGTCAGTCGCCCATCTTGGCTGCTCCAGAAACAAGAAGGACTGTTGGTCTCTGGCAGACAAACTGACCTCTGACTGTTGGTGCAGATGACTGATCCACACTTGTAATTACGAGCAGCCTGACTGCTGAAACTGCTATTTGTCACGGGTTTGGAGTCCGCTTTCCTGGTGGAATCAGTGGAGTGCAAATCTGGGTTGAGCAGCGTGACTTGGACACGAATAACTACAGAGATCAGCATGAGTTGGTCAACTCACTGGAACATGAATACAGAATTGGGTGATCAACCCAGAAATAAATCAACCTCCTCCACCTTGTCATCGAGAGCACAGATTCCCAGACCAGGTATCAGGTTGTGAACATGCTCCAGCTAATGTGTTGAGGAACAGAAGTACGCATCTGGCTTTCTGTTACAGTGCTTCACTGGAAACAGGATGTTAATTGGCTCAGTCAGATGGGTATGAGATACGACTTGAAACTGGTCACTTTCCCGCTGCTGTATACACAGGAACTGTGTGTATTTGTCTGAAACCCTCTCTTCCTTAAAACCCTCTCTTAAATAACTTCTGCAAAGCCGTGGTCAAATAGGACTCTGGCTTCTTGCAATCACACAGTGCAGAAATAACGGGAGTGACAGGCTACAAACTCTAGACGATAAGCAGGGAAACTCTGAAATGCAGACAAGACTAAACTGTGTACATTAGAAACAATAAATGGGGTTTGGGTTAACGTTGTGGTGGACACTGGGATTCAAATGAAGGTTTGCAGCTAACAAGGTAGTTACAATGGCCGTTGTGTTGAAGAACCATACTCCCGCGCTCATTTATTCTTCCCAATCACTGCTCATGTAACCAGTGTCTGGGCCAATATCAGATGAATAGTGCAGCATTGGGCTTTACCTGACTGGCAATTATTCTCCGAAAATAACTGAGTGGTTAGTGGATGATCTCATCTCCTGTGCAGTGGAAAAATAGCGGAGGTACATTTTACCTGACTATCTAAACAGTGCTTAAGCTTTGTGTATATGTTGACTGTGTGCAGAATTGTGTACAGATGGTTATAGTGTGTAGAAGTTTATGTGTGTATAGCAGGCATAAGTGTGTTCAGGTGTGTGGATTGTTAATGTTCAATAATACTGGGTACCCTGCAGATCTCAACTCTGTTCGCGGCTTCCTCCATCTCTTCCCTGAGTGCGTCAGCTTTGGCACCGGACGACTGCAGGTTGCTTGACAACCCAGACGACTTTGAAGACTGTTGCCACCTGATTGGACCAAAGGAAGCCATTAGAGCAATGTCTAAATGGGTAAAACTGCATAGTGCAGAGCAACACAAAGAACTATGAGTAACAGAGTGACACGAAGATCGCTGAGGAAGGCATAGCAACACAAACACAGAGTAATGCCCAGTACCTCAGCAATTACAGGACTGTAAGACCTGCTGTTTCTTATTGCCACATTCCCAGCTGATTGAGGCCAATTTCATCACAAACCATTTGCAACTGGAATAACATCACATGTTTCTTTAAACAGATCATCCATTTTCCACTAGCATCAGACGTCCTACAGAACGTCACGCGGATGCATAACACTCACTCAGATCACGTCCAAACAGTGAGTTGATTTCAATGTATACTCATACACAGTAAATTCTACTCGGTTATCCATCCATGCCCCAATGTTAAGAGTGCAACTACTATGGCTTAATCGCTGATCATTGTTCATTTACAGTTGTTGACTGGAACGCACACATGTCAATAAATGTGCTTCATCAGCCTTTACAAACTGCTGCTTGGTCTCTGAACACCAGACTGAGCAGTATTTTACCTCCTCCACCTCAGGCTAAGCCTTTAGAGCCAGGACGTCTAAATCCACTTTGCTCCCGGCAGCATAAACTCAGCATTGAACGAATTAGTAAGGCAGCACTGAAAGTTTAATGTACAATACTGTACGGATTTGTAACCCAGTATCATAGTGGCTGATAACACAGCAAGAAGGAGGTTAATAACACAGCATTGGGAGGGTGTAAAACGCAGCACTGAAGGGCTTAGCAGTACTGCTTTGAAAGGGTTAATAGTAATGCACCAAAGGAGTTAATAGTGCTGCATTGAGAGGTTAACATTGGCACACTGACTACCTATTTCTATGTAGGAACATTTTGAAGTTTGGTTCTTGCTTGAGGCCGTTCACTTTGCATCTGGTGCCCAGTTCTGCAACACAATTTGAATCAAATAACCGGCTTACAGTTACATTATCTATGCCTCTGAGCATTTCAACATGGGTCACATCCCCTCTCAACCTTCTTATTGCCAATGAAAACAGGTTTAGTCTGTTCTATTCCAGGTACCACAGACCTACGCCAGTCAGAACAACTTAAAAAGAAAATAAATGCGAGATCAATTTCAAAACAAAGAAGAGAATTCTGCACATAGAGATAAATAAATTGAAGTGCTTCGAGATGTCTTGAAGACATTGGGGTAGAAGGGTGACCGAAGGCACGGTCGAAGAAGAGCGTCTTGAGACAGGTCTTGAAGGAGGCAAGGAATTACTGCCTGATACTCAGAGCAATTACTACCTGAAGCTCAATGCCCTGAAATTCACTGTGATTAAGTGCAGGAGGGCAAGGCTGTTAGTGCACATCCCTTGAGGTTGTTCGGCTGTGAGCCCAACTGCAGAATGGTCACAACTTTGCCATTCTTTAACACTGAACTTGTGCCTAAAATTTAAATTGATTTCATCTTTTGCCTTTATGTCCCTGAATTGCTGGTTAATTTGTAACCTCTGTCGTGGCTTGTGGTCTCTCCTGTGCAATGAGTAGACACTGCAAACCAGCCCTTACTCTGATTGGGGATCGAACCTAACATGAGAAGCAGGAGAGTTGAATGCCAAGTCCCTCTAAAGAAACAAAAGAATAATAAAAATTGGTCATTTTCAATCCACGACTGTTTGTGGGACATTGCTGTGCGCAATTGGTTCAAACCCCATGTCAGCACTTTGAATTTACATTGTCTCGGCTGAAATTACAATACAGTGTGGGGAGTATGTACATTGCTGGAAATGCCGTCAAGGTCCTGCCTGCCTGTTCAGATGGACATTAAAGATTCCATGTCACTGCTCAAAACTAGAAGGGAGTGGCCAGAGATCCCCAGATAAAATTGACATTTACTTCATGTTTATGACACATTATTGTGGACAAATTGGCTGTATTTTCACCTACAAAATACAGTCACTATACGTTGCAGTAAATCCTGTGAAGTGCTTGGAGACAGCCTCCGGATGTGACCAGCGCTATATCAAGTGCAAGGATTATTATAATTTTTTAATGCAACCCAAGGTAGAAGAAATTACTAAATTACCTCTTATAGGAAAGCACCGAGTTATCAATGACCTGGGAAAGATTCCAATGTGTTTTAGGGAGACTTTCATTGGGAGTGGCTAAACAAAATCTTGAAACTTTATAAGCCAACTGCGCAGGAGTTCTCCTTCAGGCTGCTGAATTTCATTATATCACAGCGCACAGCTAGTGACAGAATGAGTCCAACTCATTCCCCAAAGTCTTCTCAGCAATGATGGAATAAGTCATTGTCTGGGTGAGGCGCTGGGCCAAGCCTTTGGCAATACAACCTGCAAGGGAATTAAGTGAGCGTGTAAACCTAATAGTCGAACGGAAATCCAATGCTTGCTCACTCAATCCTGCATTAGGCAATATTTGGGTAAGGTTTACAGTGTTTCATAACGCATTCCTGATGTTAATTAACCTGATAATCGCATTTTGAAACGTCAAACTTTACCCAATTGTTTCACATTTCAATTCCACCAGCCTCCCTTAGCCACGAATATTTGTCTGTCTACAATTGGCTGGCCTCTTTCCAGGCACAGGAGTGGTCTCACAAGTCACCAGACTATGTTGAAAGATCAACACTTTCACCCTATATCCACGCTTTGATGAAAATAGTCCACGTACTGCTACTATTAACAGCAAATACATTCACCACAAAACCACCATTCCTTGAGGGAAAAGTGGCTAAGAGAAGGCAGTTGAGTGGAACGTCGATAAATATAGGCTGCAGTAACCCACTCACACACCATCCATGTGAGCTCAGGCTGAAATCTATACCGGAACTCCAGTGCAGTACTGGAGGAAACATTGCATTACCTGAGGCGCCATCCTCTAGGTGAGATGTTAAACCGAGGTCCCACCTGACAATTCAAGTGGACTTTAAAGATCCCATGACACAATTTGAAAAGAGAAGGAATTTTCTCCCAGTGCCCTGACCACCAATCCTCCAGAAAAATTGGCTATTCATAGGGGATCTTGCTGTTTGGAAATTGGCTACAACATTCAGTCATTATACTATGTCGCAATTACCTGTGAAGGTTTTTTGAGATGTTTCAACATCACAAACACTATATCGAAAGGAAGGGTTTTTAACAAATAGTCTCACATATGAACAACTTGCATTTATAAAGTGCTTTTTAAATAAAAATCTCAAAGCATTTTACAAAAGTGACTGAACAGATGTTAAGCAATGAAATAAGTTCTTAATCGTGCAACTTTGTTAAGCACAAAATGTTTTACATTTCTCTGGTTGTTGAGTGGTCACTTAGGAGTCTGAAGCTGCTTTTCCAAATAAGAACACTCACTTGCTAGCAGAAAGCTGGGCACTGCGGTCTGTTTCTTAATTGCTCCGCGCTTCTGAGATGCCTGAACCTATTCAGACATTAGGTTTGCACTTACCCTAGATGACACTATTTCAGCAGTCTACCTGAAGCCAGATGTTAGCAACATGAATGTGCAAAGGTTGACTCAAAATGCTTTAGAATTTTGATATGGAAGCACCAAGCATCGAGAGTTATGGATCTTGATCAAAAGCACACTGCAAAAGATACTTGTTATCAGCGTTTTCATGTCAGGAAAAGGGTAAGGAAGTGAGACAAAGAGGCTTTAAATTAGAAGAGAAATCCAGAGAGCAGGAGAACAGTGGTTGGCCACCAACGATAGGATGGAAAGGGATGAGCAATTAGCACAACAATTGAAAAGGGTTACGTTTTGTGTTGGAATTAACTCTATCCCCAACTGAGCTTATCCTTGTGACTGGAAGTCCTCATTCAGGGGTCAACTTTACAGAATTTTTAAATTAAGAATTCCAAGTGTGGACATGTGGTAACTGAAAGTACTTTCCACAGATCATGCCACCTCTAGGGAACCTAGCACCCTCCAAAATACACCGAGTAGTGTTCTACAGTCGTCATCACAGGCTTCCAGATTTCTTGATTTAGAAATCCCAAGAAGCTGTACTGCAAAATTCATTCCTAAATCTCGATTTGGTCTGTCTGTAGCTGCTCCTCTTCCAGAATTGGCAGACTTTATCCGGCTTGACGATGGTATAGAATCCTTGCATGTTGATGGAATAGCACTGTTTCTGATTGGATTTGTCACTGGGGTTGTAATGAGCACAAGAGCACAGTCAGTGACCCAGTGTGCCTTCGCATGCTCTTTTATCTGTGGGAATCCAGCAACGTGTTGAACTGTTGCAGCCTCTGCAGCTGCAGATTCCTATTGATGTACATACAAATGGCTGCCAAGCAAAACACTGCTCATTTCCTCCTTAATGCAATGTGATACAGCCGCCTATTAGTGACTGGAAATCCCCAGTCAGGGCATTGGTGGTTCTTGCTCATGGACTGTCACTGCTCAGTCAGGGCTGCTCCGATGAGTCAGCCCAGCTCACTCACTCTCTTACAATACCTGCTGCTTTTAAAAACCACAGGGAAGTTTCTTTACTCCACTTGCCTGTTTACCTGGCATTAAGTAGGAACCCAGTTGATAGTCGAATGGCGGATCACTTTCCGGGGGTAATAATCCCTCAAACCATGACTGTGGGACACTGCTGAGCGTAATTGGCTGCCGCGTTTGCCCTCAATATACACAGTCAATCTACTTTCCAGTATATTCTGTCAAGCCCTTCGAGACATCTCAATGACATGATAATGCACTATATCAAATACAAGGATTATTATTACTATATCCTCCTGATATCTTCAACAGTTTCTCCTCCATTGGGGGTGGCAATGCAAAGCTCTTCATCATCACTGAACTACAACAGCTTTCTTGTCTAAATCTAATTTATTGAGTTTTTTTACCCCTAGTCTTTTATTCAATACATTTACTTGCACAGAAAACAATGCTATCAAACGAACAGACCAATACTCAATTCCGAATAAACACAGGAAAAGCCACTGCAGGAGGAGGTTTTGTCAGAAA